TTTTCTTTCTTTCTTTTTTTATTGAGATGGAGTTTTGTTCTTGTTGCCCAGGCTGGAGTGCAATAGTGTGATCTGGGCTCACTGAAGCCTCTGCCACCCAGGTTCAAGCAATTCTCCTGCCTCAGCCTCCTGAGTAGCTGAGATTACAGGCACCCACCTCCATGCCCAATTAATTTTGTTGTTGTTGTTGTATTTTTAGTAGAAATGAGGTTTCACCATGTTGGCCAGGCTGGTCTCGAACTCCTGGCCTCAGGTGATCCACCCACCTTGGGCTCCCAAAGTGCTGGGATGACAGGTGTGAGCTACCGTGCCCAGCCTAAAGTTTTCTTATATCCCAGTTTTCTAGGAGTTTTAACATAAATGGATGTTCGACTTCTGTCAAATGCTTTTTCTGCATCTGTTGCAATCATGGTGTCATTCTTCTCCTTTACTTTGCTAATAGAATGAATTCTATTAAAATACTTTCTGGTGTTGAACATTCTACATTCTTGAAAAATAATATTTAATGTGAATAAAATTTTTCTTTTATTTAAAATTTTTTTTAAGACAAGCTCTTACTGTGTTGCCCAGGGTGGTCTTGAAATTCTGGTCTCAAATAATCCTCCCACCTCATTCTCCCAAATAGCTGAGATTACAGGTGTGAGCCACCATGCCCGGCTTTAAAAACCATTTTAATATCACAAATAACATACTAATACTTATTTTTTAAAAGTTAAACTTACTCCTTAAAACTTAAAAGTTAAGCTATTTTCAAATATTTGCAAATGCAAACCGTATTCCTGAAAAGATGAATAAGAAATTTGTTATAACGGCTGTCTTAACTAAAGAAAACCAAGGGGTTGAGGGATAGGAGAGTGAAGCGGTCGCGGTAACTTTCTGCATATTGTTCCAGGAGTATTTAAACACCTTTGAAAATAATAAATTAAAACATCACAAAAAATGCTGAAGTTTCCCTTGCCTACTGCTCCCAATTCCTTGTTCCTTCTTGGTCCCCCCTGAAGTTACAACTCTTATGAATTTGGTATACTTCCTCTGAGGGATACTATTTGCATTTACAAACATGTAATTATTTTGCATTTTATACAGGAGAACATACCAGTGTGTTCTTCTAGTGCTTTCCCTGCTTTTATATAAATACATGTGCATACCCACATGTGTACATGTGCGTGTTATGTAGATAAAATTATACCACAATCCTAATTCTGCTTTTTTTTTTTTTTTTTGCCCTATTATTTGTCTAGGAGATTTATCCACATTGCTATATATACATCTAGCTCCTGCTTTTAATAGTTTCACAGTATTATGTAATATGAAAAAACAACTATTCTTTCATCCATCCCAGAATCCCTCTAGGTTAGATATAGCATAGCAAAATTGTTGGTTTCAGTGTATACTCATTTGTTGTTGTTTTAAGGAATTCGGCTGAGGCAGGAGAATGGCGTGAACCTGAGAGGTGGAGCTTGCAGTGAGCCAAGATCGTGCCACTGCACTCCAGCCTGGGAGACAGAGCAAGACTCTGTCTCAAACAAACAAACAAACAAACAAACAAAGCAACAACACTTCCAGATTGCTCCCAAAGGACCATAACCAGCTTTCTTTAATGCACCCAGAGCACCAAGCCAACACATTGTCCTTCCTTCTCCTCCCTCCTTCTTCTCTCACCTTCTTCCCGGTCCCGTTCCTTCCTCCTCCCTCGCTCTTTCTCTCTTTCTTCTCTTCAGAGAGTTTTTGCTCTTGGCAGGGTGGCATGCAGTAGTGCATCTCAACTCATGCAAGCCTCTTGCCGTCCTGGTTCAAGCGCAATTCTTCCATGGCCTCAGCCTCTCCAGAGTCAGGCTGGGATACAGGGTGCACCACCACACCTGAGTTAATTAAAAACACAAAAATTAATACAAAAATTTTTGTACTTTTAGTAGAGACAGGGTTTCACCATGTTGATCAGGATGGTCTAGGACTTCTGACCTCAGGTGATCCACCGGCCTCGGCCTTCCAAAGTGCTGGGATTACAGGCATTAGCCACCATGGCTGACCGCAAGCATGTTTTCCACTGACTTGCTGCTACCTTGATTGAGCAAGGCATGTTTTCTCTCTGGGCTCCCATCTGTAGGAGGAGGGAGTTGGGTGGACCCCGTGAGTGTATGAGACGGTGTAATGATAGTCTCAGAGTGGGTAGGATGACTGCCCTAAAGAAGGCAGCGAGAGCAGGAGGATGCAGGTGCCAGCCAAGCTGAAGGCAGGCAATTCAGATGCCCTTGGTCCTCTTCTTAGCCCGTCCATGAGCACAGTGACAATTTATCTGCAGTTCTCACCCAAAATCCCCCTCTGAAAGGCATGGATACCCTTTTCTGCAGAATTCACCTACTAGGGTCTCCCAGGGGTTGACAGAGGCCCAGGTCATTTCCATTTATTGAGACTCCCAGCTAATTAAAAAGATGAAGAAATAGTAAGCGGGGATAACAAAATTGCGTGTATGGTAATGTTGCCATTGAACAAATAAATACTAACAAATGCAGAGCAGTGGTCTACAGATATCATATAATTGCACTGCTCAAGGACAATTATAGGATTAATAGACAATATTAATTCATAATACGGTACAGATAAGATGGTGCAGGAATGGAACACACATTTACATGTACAATATAAAAATATCTTCTTTTTTTCCCCCCAAATCTGCCAGGATAATGCTTTGACTGAATGTATGAGTGCCTTTGGAGAATTCTAAGTTTGAGCAACTTTCTGAATGTGAGATGAGTCAAATACCCCCCACCCCATTTTCTCCACCCCACCCAGGCTCAACCACTCTTAGGCCGACAGTGAAGAGAGACATCCCATTTAATGTTTCTAAATTTGATGCCTGTGTTGATTATCCACACTTTGAGCAAATCTGTGCATATTATGGTTTCCCAATGTATGTGTTTCGGTTTATTTTAGTAGAATAAAAGAGAAAAAACATTCTTCCTCTTTTGGAGTTGAGAAAAGGGGAGAAATGACAGAGATGAAGTAGAGTCTAAGACATGGAAGAGGTGCATTTTGGGACATGGGAGAGGTGTATTCTGGGACATGGAAGAAGTGGGTTCTTGGACATGACAAACTGGGTTCTGGAACAGGGAGGAGTAGATGCTAGGTTATCATAGTAGAGGCAGATTCTTAGGTCAGGGACCAGGTGGATTTTGGGACAGAGATGAGAGGTGGGTTCTGGGACATGGTGGAGATGGGTTCTGGGACATGGTGGAGATGGGTTCTGGGACAGGGAGGAGGTGGGTTCTGGGACAGGGTAGACGTAGGTTCTGCAACATGGAGGAGGTGGGTCCTGGAACAGGGAGGAGGTGGGTCCTGGGACAGCATGGAGGTGGGTCTTGGGACAGGGAGCAGGTAGGTTCTGGGACAGGGAGAAGATGGGTTCTAGGACAGGGACGAGGTGGGTTCCGGGACAGGGTGGAGGTAAGTTCCGGGACAGGGGGGAGGTGGGTTGTGGAACAGGGGGGAGGTGGGTTGTGGAACAGGGGGGAGGTGGGTTGTGGAACACGGGGGAGGTGGGTTGTGGAACAGAACGGGAGGAGGTGGGTTCTGGGACAGGATGGAGATGGGTCCTGGGACAGGGTACAGGATGGAGATGGGTCCTGGTACAGGGTGGAGGTGGGTCCTGGGACAGGGTGGAGGTGGGTCCTTGGATAGGGAGGAGGTGGGCTCTGGGACAGGTAGGATTTGGGTTCTGGAACAGGGTGGAGGTGGCTTCTGGAACAGGGAGGAGGTGGGTTCTGGGACAGGGTGGAGGTGGGTCCTGGGACAGGATGGAGATGGGTCCTGGTACAGGGAGGAGGTGGGTTCTGGGACAGGGTGGAGATGGGTCCTGGTACAGGCAGGTGGTGGGTTCTGGAACAGGAAGTAGGTACATTCTGGAACAGCATGAAGGTGGCTTCTGGAACAGGGAGGAGGTGGGTTCTGAGACAGGCTGGAGGTGGGTTCTGGGTCAGGGACCAGGTGGGTTCTGGGATAAGGAGGAGAAATGAATTCTGGGACAGACATGAGGTGGCTTCTGGGCCATGTTAGAGATAAATTCTGGGACACAGGAGAGGTGGGTCTGGGACAGAGACAGATGGATTGTGGGCGGGCCATCCCACTCTATGCTCCCAGAACCCACCCATGCAGTTTCCCTGGCGCCCCTAACACATCCCGTAGCCACTGTTAGCTTGTCTCCCCCAGGTCTTAGCTCAAACGTCACCTCCTCCAAGCAACCTCCTTGGGGCCTCCATTCGCAGTTCATCAGTCCCCTAGTCAGACAACCATCCTGCCTGTGCTTCCCCTCCTAAACCCTACCCGGGGGTGAGGGTTCCCTCCCGCTAGACGGTGGCTCACTGAGGGCAGGACCCGCTAGACGGTGGCTCACTGAGGGCAGGACGGGCCTGAGCGCTCACCACGCACGCTCAGCGCAGCAGGCAGAGACGGGAACCCAGGCTGGCCCATCATTACTGTACTGAGCGAATGAGTTTTCCACGAGACTAAGAATCTGGTTTGACTTGCGGTTTCATTCCAAGTGCCTGAGGGCCTCAGAAGTCCATGTTGAGTCCATCAATAAAGGAAAGAAGGCGTTAGGGCGAGAGGAAGTGAGGACGCGGGGAAGTGAAAGAGAATGAAAAGGAGGAAATGGAGACGAGGGCGACTCAGAGAGGAACAGAAAGACAGAGGGAGGGAGAACAGAGAAAGAGCGAAAAACGAAAGAGCGGAGGAAGCGACGCGAGCCTTTCTTAATGAATGACTGCACACTTGTCGCCGCCTGCGCGCACCCTCGGGCTGGGCAGGCGCTGCGTCTCGGGGCGCAGTGCCAGGACCCTCCGCAGCCGCGGCAGGCCCGGCCTCGGGTCGTCTCCCGCAGGGGGAGCGCAGGTGCCGGGTGCAGGGGGGTCCCCGGCCCCGCCCCGCTGGCCCCGCCCCTCCGGCGCCCCCTCCCCCGCCGGCCCAGCGCGCGAGGCATTGTGGGAGTTGTGGTCTTCGCGGCCCCGCGGAGCGCAGCGCGGCGTCTGCACCGGCGGGGGCACCGGCGCGGCTTGGGCTCCGGCTGGTGCTCCGGCTCGGACTCCAGCGGCGTGGGCTGGGCAGCGGCCGGGCGGCGGCTCCGCGGCACCGGGCAGGGGGCGTCCGCAGGTCCGCGCCCTCGGGCGGCGGCGTCTCCTGGGTCCCGACAGCCGCCTGCGCGCCCGGGCGCAGGTAAGCTTCGTCTGCTGGGGCTGCTGGGGCGGGAGGGCGGCGCGGCCGAGCCGACCCCGGGACGGGGGTTGGAGGCGGGAGCCGGGCAGCTGCAGGCCCGCGGCCCTCCCTTCCCGGCGCCGGCGCCGCCGCCGCCCCCGCCGAGGATGCTCCGGGACCCGGGCGCCCGCATCCTGGCCCGGCCGAGGCCAGCGCTCGTACGTGCTGAGTGCAGCCGCCTCGGAGCCGAGCATCACCCTCCCTAGACCTCCTGCTTCTCCTCCTCCCTGCCCCATCGTGGTCCCTTCCTCCATTTGCCTCCTCCCCTGTGACCCCTCTTTCCTCACCTCCTGTCCCCCTCCCCCAGATCTCAGCATCACCCGCTTCCCATATTTCACGTGGTGACCCTCCTCCCCTGTCCCACGAATTATCAGGCGCCATAAACCTCCTTCCACAATCTTGAGCTGATCGCCCACTTTTCCTGGCAACACTCACCTTTCCATCGTCCCATCCCCCTCCTCTCCTGAACTCCTGGTGGTCACCATCTGTGTTAACCCATCTTCATCCCTCCCCTCTTTCCCACTCTCCAGGGCAGGTGGGTGCTGAGAAGCTGTCCAAGAGAGGGAAGATCCCCAGGTCTGCACCGGGAAGGGCTGGCCCCAGGGCATATCTCTGGCCCGAGTGGAGAGGGTGACATGCATCACACACCTTGCCTAGGGCTGTGCTGCTCACTGGGGGGCTTCCAGGGTGATTTGGCCTCATCCTGAGGGTGAGCAGACACTCTTTGGCATTGGGTAGCCTCTGGGAATGGACATCTGAAGTAGGTTGACCAGGTCAGGTCTGAGACCGGCTCTCCCAGGTGTTCATGGTGTCAGAAGTTGTCTTGGATTGGACTTGCTCTCCAACTGGCCATGGATTTGAAGTCAATTCCCCAGAGCCAACTGAGCTGGAAGGTCTGGGGTTGCATATTATTAAAGTGCAGAGCTGCGGTGAGATGTCCCCATCCCTGATGAGGACAGAAATAACACAGATGACAGTGAACAAATGCGTGAAGGAAGCTGGAAACTACTATGGTCACTGGGCAAGGAGCTGTCAGGGGAGTCTCTCCCCTCCCCACTGGGGAGATGGGGAGTTGTCACTGGGTAGCTGTGAGGATCAAACGTTTGAAGCAGTGCTTAATAAACTGCCAGTCACTCTACACATGTAAGTGTTTCTTTTATTGTCACAGTTCAGCTTTGAGCTTGTAAATCCACCTCTGGGTGCAGGGGCCTATAGGCATATTTTGACTAAAAGTGACTGACAGTTATGCAAAGTCCTCACTTGAGCTCTCAGTGCTATTTATGATCTCGGGAGGAGGGTCTGAAGCTGGGGTTCAGAATCTTTTACATTCTTTTGCTTACTCCTCTCGGCCTTGGGGAGGGCTCATGGCTGGGTCTGTACAGAAGGAGGCTTTCTGTAGAAGAGGGTAAGGGCTGGGGTGTCCAGTGGAGAGGTTTCTCCGTCATCCACTGTTTTCTGTGTCTGCATTTTGCTTGACTTAAGTGATTAGCAGGGCTAATGGGAACTCACACTTTACAGTTGCTTGTTAAATTGTCACCATCTCACTCTTAGAACATTTAAGATAAAAACCTCTCCTCCTGACAAACCCAGTTGAAAAGTTCCAGTTAGGGGTTTAGCTCAGTGGTGGGGGAAATCCTTTTAGTGAAAGTGCTTGGCGTCACATAGATGATCGTTTCACACTGAATTTCAGGAACTCTGGGGTTCTGTTTGGGAGGTGGCTTGCAAACAAAACATCTTTCATCTGGATTTTCTTTCGTTTTCCTAAAGAGGTAACAGCTGCCAGTTTATGGTCTAACAAGGAGAGAAACAGGGGGCTGAAGGGATTTCTTAACCTCTAGTGAGTCATAGCCTTTTCCTCGTCTCCTCAATCTGAGAAGAAATTGAGAACGTGTGGGAAAGAAAAAACAACAACAATTTAGCTTCTAACCTCCCCACTCTTGTATTTTTCCTAGAAACATAAAAAATTTCCATGAATATTCAGCATGTGTGTTTTTGACTTACTAAACATTATAGTCAAGTGATTATTCAACCGAAACTGGGAAGAAGCAAGTAGGCAGTTAATGAGCACCTAAGGCTTCCCTTTCATTTTTAGCTTAGCAAGTCTGGGGACAAAAAATCCACTTGACACATGGGGCAACAAGAGGATTTACCTTTAACTGTTGGAATTCTGAGTCTTGCGATATCTTTCTCCCATGCCCCACCTTTGGAATGCCGGCTACTCGTTATGGGATGCCACCCATCCTAGCCGTCGCCTGCATATATTGGGTGCTCATTATGACTTGATCGTTGTCCATCCGCCATCATTCATCTTCATCCAGTGAGATGAACAGGAACCCCATTTCACGGATAAAGAAACTGAGGCAGCCGGGCATGGTGGCTCATGCCTGTAATCCCAGCACTTTGGGAGGCCAAGGTGGACGGATCACCTGAGGTCAGGATTTCAAGACCAGCCTGACCAACATGGAGAAACCCCATCTCTATTAAAAATACAAAATTAGCTAGGTGTGGTGGCGCATGCCTGTAATCCCAGCTACTCGGGAGGCTGAGGCAGGAGAATCGCTTGAACCTGGGAGATTGTGCCATTGCACTCCAGCCTGGGCAATAAAAGTGAAACTCCGTCAAAAAAAAAAAAGAAAGAAAGAAAAACTGAGGCTTAGGAGAAGTGATCTGCCCAAGGTTGGGATGAATCCTCAGCTGGGCCCATCTCTAATTTGGCTCCTCTCTGCCACGACGCTGCAAGAATTTTCAGGCCAAATTTAGTCCCCTGGGAAAAGGGAGGGTACAACTTTTCAGTTTTTTACGCTGCCCTCCTATATTTCTGAGAGAGAAGTGAGAGCGTCAAGTACAAAAGGAATATTCTACGTTGTGCTCCTTGAGTATCAGGCTTGTAGAAGCAGAGACCTGGCTGTTCTCATTGTATCAGAAGAAGCAGGATGAACAAAAGGTTCTCCAATGTAGAAGCATTGGAGAATGCTGGGAAACACGGCTGGGGTTTTAGAGACTTAGGCAGCATGACATTCAGCCCCTCTTAGGTTATTAGGACCATGAGGGTTCCGGGCCCTGGCCCTAACCCCCAGCTGGGTAAGTAGCAAAGCATTTCTGGCTGTTTTAGAGATGCTGTCGGCTGTGGGAAACTGAGGCAGAGACCTGGAAGGGCTTTTATTTTCATTCTGCCTCCCTCATTTTCCTTTCATGACCCTGTGGGTGAGGCCAGTAGGTAGTCTCCAAGTGGGTAGACAGAAAATGCCCTTTGTCTGCCGCAGGCATGACCTCAGAGTGCCCACTTCCTCTTCCAACTTGGTATTAGCCCAACCTCTGTCAGAAGGGCAGCAGAATGAAATAAGGATGATGAAATGCTTTCAAAGAGAAAGCGAAATGGAGAATATGCAGTTTTTAAGTCCCTTTGCCATTTTAAAGATGCTTTTGAATCCAGGATTCTTTGGAATTAAAGGTACAGCAATTACAGGAGTATACGCATTGATTAAATACCTATGATGAAATAGTGCAGCAAAATGGATAGACGTGGGCCTTGACGTCAGATGGTGTTTGAGTCCCCGCCCTGGCTGTGTAACTCTTATGAGTTTACGTTGCTTCTCTGGGCCTCAGTTTTCTCATCTGTAAAATGGGGATAATAGCACCCTCCTATGGAGAGCACAAAGCAGATGGGACTGCTGTAATTATAAGCAGTACTTGACGCAGATGAAATGCTACTGGCCTTTTGGGAAATGGGAGTGGCAGTAGAATGGGGAGGCAATACACACGATTGCAAAGTGTGACCCGCACTAACTGGGATCCTACAGAATGATCTAACACTTTACATTTCATTTGAGGACTTTTCCAGGTGTAAAATTTATGCTGATTTTTTTTTTTTCCATCCCAGGTTTGGTTTTCCTAAACAAAGACTTTCACAGGGACCGACAGCACTTGATAATGTGACAAAAACCAGCCTCTTCCACCCCACTGCAGTGACTTTTGCCAGAAGTGGAGCAGTGGGCACGGCCGACCTTGTCGTTCATCAATGCCGCCCCTGGCAGGATCTGAGGATTGGTGGCAGCCATGCCTCCCCCTGCCCCAGTTGCTCCTTCCCCCCCACTCTAACCTGCATGGTGTGGGCGCCCTTGGGACCCCCGAGGACTGATTGTCTGACCTTGCTTCACATCCCCAGTAAGGACTGCCCCAAGATGTCGCTCGAGTGGCTGGTGGCCTGGAGCTGGTCGCTGGATGGCCTGAGGGACTGCATCGCCACTGGCATCCAGTCCGTTCGGGACTGCGACACCACCGCTGTCATCACTGTGGCCTGCCTCCTGGTCCTGTTCGTGTGGTACTGTTATCACGTGGGCAGGGAGCAGCCCCGGCCCTACGTCTCCGTCAACTCCCTCATGCAGGCCGCCGATGCCAACGGGCTGCAGAATGGCTATGTGTACTGCCAGTCCCCCGAGTGCGTGCGCTGCACCCACAACGAGGGCCTCAACCAGAAGCTATACCACAACCTGCAGGAGTACGCCAAGCGCTACTCCTGGTCCGGCATGGGCCGCATCCACAAGGGCATCCGCGAGCAGGGCCGGTACCTCAACAGCCGGCCCTCCATCCAGAAGCCCGAGGTCTTCTTCCTACCCGACCTGCCCACCACGCCCTATTTCTCCCGGGATGCACAGAAACATGACGTGGAAGTGCTGGAACGGAACTTCCAGACCATCCTGTGCGAGTTTGAGACCCTCTACAAAGCTTTCTCAAACTGCAGCCTCCCGCAAGGATGGAAAATGAACAGCACCCCCAGCGGGGAGTGGTTCACCTTTTACTTGGTCAATCAGGGGGTTTGTGTTCCCAGGAACTGTAGGAAGTGTCCACGGACGTACCGCTTGCTCGGAAGCCTTCGGACCTGTATTGGGAACAATGTTTTTGGGAACGCGTGCATCTCTGTGCTGAGCCCTGGGACTGTGATAACGGAGCACTATGGACCCACCAACATCCGCATCCGATGCCATTTAGGTATGTTGCAGGGACGGGGGTCTCCCGGCATGCACATTTGCAAGCTCAGCCTCTCTCACTCATGGCAATCAAAACATCGCGAGAGCTCAAATGGTCAGAATTGTGCCTTTTCGCATTGTTCATTTTGAGCAAACACTGATGAATTGCATGTAAACAATTTTGGCAGCAGAGATTGAGTCAAAAAGAAATCTTGTGATTGGTGCAAACCTAATTTCTGACAGCAGCTCTGTGCAAAGAACTTTCTGCAGTGACAGAAATGTTCTCCATCTTCATTGTCCAAAATGGTAGCCACTAGACACATGTGACTGAGGGCTTGAAATGTGGCTCCTGTAACTGAGGAACTAAATTTTAATTTAAATAGCAGTGACACATACGGCTAGTGGCTACTGTATGGGGACAATGTTGTTCTAGAGCCAAAGACTTGTTAAAATGATTACCGAGGTTCATAATGCTGTCCAGGAGGCTGTGAAAGATACTTAAGCCCCTTTGCAGTCATCAAGGATGAAATGGTCCTTAGTACTAAGCTTCTTTTACTCTGATTCTGAGAAAATTGGTCGTGTGTGTACTGTGTGTGTGACTGTGGTTTTGCAAACAAAGTCTGGAGTTAGATGGCCTTTGCATCTTGGCCCCACCACGAGCTGTGCTATTTTAGGCAAGTCACTTCACCTCTCTGAGCCTCAATTTCATCGTTTGGGAAGTGGAGGTAAAAAGATCTGAGGATCAAATCAGATAACGTGTATTGTAAAGTATGTATGCACACAGAGCCTAAAATAGAGCAAGCATTCAATAAAAGTAGGCTTAAAACAACTTGGTCATGGAGATATTAGTTCCACAGAATGCCTTATTCCTGGTGAGTGGCAATAAAAAGCTGGTCTGTGGGATGGTGGCATCACCGGTTAGCATCCCAGACTAGAGTGTGCAGAGACAGCCTCAGCAGCGTCCAGCTTTAGAAAGTTCGCAGCGCTGCCTCAGCTTCAGAAGGGAGGAAGGAAGAGCAGCGGAGGAACCTGGTGCATAGGTTGGAGCAGGAGTTTCATAACCATGTTCTGCAGAGGAGCCTCAGGGTTGCCTGGGAAGGAGCCGGAGCTGGGGGCCCTGAGCCCTCTTCACCCTTACCGGCTCTGCTTCTCCTGCTGTGTGGAGATTCTGAGTAAGATGTGGTTTGGATGGAGGATGTCACTGCGTTAAAAAAAAAAAGAACGAAAGAAAGAAAAGAAAGAAATATAACTAGATTTGAGCAATTGACATGGTAGGAATTTCAAGAGTAAAGGGTGGACTGGGTGGAGGCTCTGGGGGAGTGGGCCTGAATTCCCGGTCAGCGGTCAGCCATGAGACTTCGAGCAGGACACTGAGTCTCTCTCTGCCTCAGTTCTTCCTCTGTAAAATGGGGAGATGTTACTTACTTCACAGGATTGTTGAGAGGATTCAATGAGTGGCATCTTACTTGGCCCCTTGGCAGGGTGCCTGGCACGTGACAGCATTTGATGAATGGGAGCTAGTAGCTGTTATCAAGGACTGTGTTGGACCATGTGAAAAATGATCCCTAAGACATGGACCCTACCCCCAGGAAACAGTGGGAAAGGAACAGGCTCTGGACGCAAACAGATCTGGACTCAGGTCCTGGCCTCGCCCCGTTTGCTGAGTGACCTTGGGCAGGACTCTGAACTTCCGTCAGCCTTCATTTTCTTCTCTCTAAAACAGAGATCACGATTCCCACTTGCGGGCTGTTTTGAGGAGTGGGAAGTAATATGCATAAAATGCGTGGCAGGTAGAGGGCAGTGGACAGTAAGCTAATCTAAGTGATGGGATGATAATCCAGGTGATGGTCATTAGCAAAACTGCCGTGCGAGGGGTGTCCTGGGGAGGTGGGTCTGATGCTGGAGGATCCCCACACAGAAATCAGGTGCCACCAGGGTGGAGCGAGGGAGTGAAGTCGTCCCCTGGGGCTAGGGGAAGCCGGGTCTAGGCTTGCTGGGGAGGCCACTAGTGTGGGCTGAGGTTGGACAGGTCAGGTGGGAGCAAACCTCAGAGGCCCTTGCTGCCAGGCTTGAGAATGGAGGCCGTGGGCAATGGGGAGTGGTGCTCTTCTTTTGAAAGGTTTGCCTTTATGTACTGTTTTGAAACTTCAGAATGACGTCGGGGAAGGGCATTTGGGGACTGATGTGGTAGAATTTCAAACAGGTGTGAGTAGGAAGCGATGGTAGCAAGGAAAATCTGGGGTCTGCTTCCTGTAGATTAATGCTTGTTGTTTATCTGTACAGTATGCATGCATGAGTGTGTGTGTGTGTGTGTGTGTGTGTGTGTGTAAAACATGATGCCCACACTGGCTCACACTGTAGCCTGTGGCCTGTCATTTCCTTCTCAGCCCAGCTAGGTACTTGCCAGAAAAAGTAGGCCCTCCATGTTCCCGTAGATGGCAGGAAACCTTCTTAGAAGACGTCCCACTGTGGTGTGGCTTGTTCTCCATGGCCAAGGCGAGCTCCCTGGTTGGGTTTTCTCAGCGTTTCCTTCTTTACACTGTCATGCCCACATTAATGTCCACCCAGGAGGGAAACAAAGGTGTGTCGGATTTACATGACCGTGTGTGTTGACAGAGAGGGAGTCCAGAGAATGTGGTCAGAAGCAGGATAAGCCTGGTGCGTACCTGGTGGCCACACCTCTGCTGGTTACCTGGCTGAAGGTGGAGGCACCTGCGGTTCCAGAACTGTGCTCTTGAAACGCCAGTGCTTTCTCCTCTTCTGCCTTCTGCCTGAGCTGTGACTGATGGAATTGTCTCTGCAAAACACTGAAGCCCCAGCCACTGCTCCTCACTAACACAGCCCATTTGTTCGAGACATATTTGCTGAGCTCTGCTGTGAGCTACTTCTAGAGGTGGCATCACCCGGTCCTGACTTCATGTGGGACCACAGGACAGCTTCAGGCCCACCCCCTACTCAGCATCGTACACAATCCTGGGCTATTCCAACTGCACTGCCACCAGCTTCCAGAAAACCGCCTCTGAAACTCCTCTGAAACTCACCAGGCAGATGTTACCAGGGAGGCAGACACTTCATGAAAATGCATGAGTATGTTCAGCAGATTCTAGCTAAAGCAGCACAATTAGACTCTTGTGTTTCTTTTCTGCATGTCATCAGATTTCTAGGTGGTCTAGCTGGCTGGTAACAGTAGATCAACTCATGTTCCCCTTGCCCACCCTGAGTGCCCGGTTGCCGGCCGCCTGAAGAGCGGGGGCCGCCGGTGGACAGAGCCCTTTCTCTAACCTCCTTCCTGCCTCCTGCAGGGCTCGCTAGGGACAGAGCAGCAAACACGGAGCTGTAGAAGAGCATATGGTACTATCTGAGGCCATGTGTGGGGCCTGTCACTGTCCCCAAGAGCCACTGGAATGATCTGTTTAGGGAAGAATTGAGCTCTTCTGCCAACTAAGCTGGTTTGTGGGCAACAGGCAGGAATGGGGGCAGGAGCAGAATGAAGGGGAGGCGGAGAACAAGAAGCAGGGGGGTGTCGAGCCAGCAGGCCAGGCCATTTTTCTATTGCACCATGGCGTGTGGCGATGAATCATTTCGTGGCCCAGAGAAAGGGGAGCTTCCTTCTGAAACCCCGAGGTGGCTGTCCCTGCAGAGAATTGCCCATTCCTAAAGGCCTTCGCCACCTGAACCAGTCAGTAGGGGCACACGCAAAAGGAAAACGTAGCCTGTGAGGCCCTCCATCTGGGCGTCTTTACAGCCCTAACTCCTCCAGCTGCCGTTAACCGTAGCGGGAAATCATGGCTTCTGTCAGGATGAGCAGTCTCAGCTGATTTAATGAAAGGTGCATTGAGAGTTGAAACATATTAGGGTCCTCTTAGAGGGACAGAACTAATAGGATATATATACACACACACAATATATATAATATATACACATATATATACAGATATACATATATATGTATATGTATATATGTATATAGTGTGTGTGTGTGTGTATATATGTATCCTATTAGTTCTGTCCCTCTAAGAGGACCCTAATATGTTTCAACTCTCAATAGTGTATATATGTGTGTGTGTATATATGTATCCTATTAGTTCTGTCCCTCTAAGAGGACCCTAATATGTTTCAACTCTCAATAGTGTATATATGTGTGTGTGTATATATGTAATATATGTGTATATATATGGGATATATATAAATATATATATTATGTATATTTTATATATATATATGTAAAGGGGAGTTTATTAAGTATTAACTTACACAATCACAAGGTTCCACAATAGGCTGTTTGCAAGCTGAGGAGCCAGGAGAGCCAGTCCGAGTCCCAAAACCGAAGAACTTGGAGTCCGATGTTTGAGGACAGGAAGCTTCGAGCACTGGAGAGAGATATAGGCTGGGAGGCTAGGCCAGTCTCACTTTTTTATGTTTTCCTGCCTGCTTTATATTTGCTGGAAGCTGATTAGATTGTGCCTACCAGATTAAGGGTGGATCTGCCTTCCCCAGCCCACTGACTCAGATGACTCTTTTGGCAACACCCACATAGACGCACCCAGGATTAATACTTTGTATCCTTCAATCCGATCAAGTTGACACTCAGTATTAACCATCACACGTATTAACTACAAGAAAATCAGGCCAGGCACAGTGGCTAAAGCCTGTAATCCCAGCACTTTGGGAGGCCGAGTCAGGTGGATCTCTTGAGGCCAGAAGTTCGAGACCAGTATGGCGAAACCCCATCCCTACTAAAAATACAAAAATTAGCCGGGCATGGTAGTGCACGCTTGTAATCCCAGCTACTTGGGAGGCTGAGGCAGGAGAATCGCTTGAACCTGAGAGGCAGAAGCTGCAGTGAGCTGAGATCGTGCCACTGCACTCCAGCCTGGGTGACAGAGCGAGACTCCATCTCAAAAAAGAGTAATAAGAAAGAAAAATCCATAATCACTTTAATTCTTCTGTTAATAGTATAACAACTAGCATTTATATCATCATGTCCAGTTTTATAACAGCCTGTTCTTTGGAGCCAGGCTGACTCAGCAACACTAAATGGTAACTTTTTAGCAGGTCATTTAACTTCTCAGTTACCCCATCTGGAAAGTGGGTGAAATGATGCCTGTAAAGTGTATATTTAGCACAAAGCTGAGTAGGAAGACACAGTAGGTCTTCAGTTATTGGTAACAAGGATAAAATCCCATAGCAGCCCTGGAAGGTTCAGTATGCTAATGTCCCCTCTTTACAGATGAGGAGGGTATGGCTCAGAGAGGCTGAGTGACTTGCCCAAAGACACACAGCACATAAGGGTCGCAACCATTCATCTGTCCCCAAGTCCTCTGTCCTTCTCTCTCCGCCATGTGGCCTCTTTATTTGAATTATTACTCTGAACGTACTTCCTGGAACCATTATTTCTGGTTCAAAGAATACATTAAAATACTCTGGCTGCTGGAAGGAAAGCTATTTCATTTTTGTGCTAAAGGACATTCAGTCAGGGGAATGCCAACTTGCCCAGGGTCATTGTGATCACAGTGAGTCACTGAAGACAGACGAGACCACCACCCATCCCAGCTCCTCTTCCAGGACTCTGCTTCCCCCTGGGTAGGCCTTCCTCAGAGCTGTCGGGCTGACCGGACCCATTCTGAAATCACCAGACAGCCATGATGGCCCCTTCTTTTCTGGACATCAAGGTAGCGATGGGGGCCAAGTGCTTCTGCAGACCCTTGTGTTGGAAAGTGTGACTGAGGGTCACACATGGCAGTGTTCCAACCAGACCCCACTGGCCTTGGAAGCATACAGCTTCTTTTTAATTTTTTTTTATTTTTGAGACAGAGTCTCACTCTGTTGCCCAGGCTGGAGTGCAGTGGTGCGATTCGCCCAGGCTGAGGGCGGTGGTGCAATCTCAGCTCACTGCAACCTTTGCCTCCTGGGTTCAAGCAATTCTCATGCCTCAGCCTCCCAAGTAGCTGGGATTACAGGCGTCTGCCACCACACCCGGCTCATTTTGGATTATTAGTAGAGAGACGGTTTCACCATGTTTGAGACCAGACTGGTCTCGAACTCCTGGCCTCAGGTGATCTGCCTGCCCCTCAGTCTCCCAAAGTGCTGGGATTACAGGTGTGAGCCACCATGCCTGGCCGAAAATACGGCTTCTTACAAATGTTCCAGTCTGTTTCCTCTTGAACCTCAGCCATTACCTTAGAAGTGTCCTCCAGTTTCCCAGAATGAGGGCAGACAAAGAGCACGCCATCCTCCAGCCTCAAAATGGATTAAAAGGCTAGAACCCAAAGAGGAGAACACTGTGTGAGCCTTTGATTCTTTAATTGTAACTGAGATAGTCCTAGAGGTGAGACTACAGTAAACACAGTTACTGGGTAAGGCAGGGTTCTAAATGCAACCTCCCTCGATTTCTGGGGGTCCCCTGGTTGGGCTTCAAAGTGTAGTACAAATGTCAGTCTGTGACTTTCATCAAAGGAAGCCATGACCCAGAATAGATGAAGCCAACGAAGGAATGAATTTTTGCCAAGAGCGCAGTGAGGATCTAGATGGTGGCTTATAAACAACAGAAATGTAGAACTCACAGTTCTGAGGCTGGAAGCCCGAGATCAAAGTGCCAGCAGATTTGGTGTCCGGTGAGGGTCTGCTTCTGGTTCAGAAACGACACCTTCTCACCGTGACTTCACCTGGTGAAAGGAGGTGGCCAGGAGCAGTGGCTCTTGCCTGTAATCCCAACACTTTGGTGGGAGGATAGCTTGAGGCCAGGCGTTCAAGACCAGCCTGGACAACATAGCAAGACCCCATCTTTACAAAAAAAAAATTTTAATTAATTGGGCATGATGGTGCACACCTATAGTCTCAGCTACTCAAAAGGGTGAGGCTGGAGGATCTCTAGAGCCTAGGAGGTGGAGGCTGCAGTGAATTATGGTGGAACCACTGCATTTTAGCCTGGGCAACAGAACAAGACCTTGTATCTAAAAAAAAAAAAAAAAAAAAAAAGATGTCAGGCCGGGTGCTGTGGCTCATGCCTGTAATTCCAGCACTTTGAGAGACCGAGGCAGGTGAATCACTTGAAGTCAGGAGTTCGAGGCCAGCCTGGCCAACATGGTGAAACCCCATTTCTATTTAAAATACAAAAACTTGGCAGGGCGCAGTGGCTCATGCCTGTAATCCCAGCACTTTGGGAGGCCGAGGCGGGTGGATCACAAGGTCAGGAGTTCAAGACCAGCCTGACCAAGATGGTGAAACCCCGACTCTACTAAAACTACAAAAATTAGCCTGGCACAGTGGCAGGTGCCTGTGATCCCAGCTACTTGGGAGGCTGAGGCAGGAGAATCGCTTGAACCTGTGCAGCAGAAGTTCCAGAGAGCCAGGATCGCACCACTGTATTCCAGACAGTTTGAGACTCTGTCTCAAACAAAACAAAACAAAACAAAACAAATTAGCCAGGTGAGGTGGTGGGTACCTGTAAGCGACTCCAGTGCCTCCCAGCTGCTCCGGAGGCTGAGGCAGGAGAATCGCTTGAACCCGGGGGACGGAGGTTGCAGTGAGCTGAGATCACACCACTGCACTCCAACCTGGGCAACAGAGACTCCATCTCAAAAAAAAAAAAAAAAAAAAAAAAAGGTGTGAAAGGAGGTAAAGCAGCTCCCTCGGGCCTGTTTTATAAGGGTGCTACTCCCATTTATTACGCCCCCGCCTTCGTGATCTGATCACTTTCCAAAGGCCCCACCTCCTAACACCATCACCTCGGGGGTCAGGTTTCAACATAGGAATTTTGCGGGACACAAGCCTTCAGACCATAGCACGGGCTCCAGAGGGGCTGAGGCAGGTCAGGTGCTTTAGAAGTCAAAAACTCTCACTAAGGCAAATCACCCCCTGCCTCGTGGCCTTCCCTGAATCTTGCCTGCCTTCACTTTCCTTTCTCTGGTTTTCCTACAAGGTCTGAAAACTCCAAATGGCTGTGAGCTGGTGGTGGGGGGAGAGCCCCAGTGCTGGGCAGAAGGGCGCTGCCTTCTGTTTGATGACTCTTTCCTGCATGCTGCGTTCCACGAAGGTGAGTGGCTGCCTTTCCCGCTTCCTTATTATTTTGTTTTTCAATGAATAGACTTTATTTTTTAGAGAAGTTTTATGTTTCCAGAAAAATCAGGCAGAAAGTACCAAGGAGGCCCCTTCGTATCACCCCGTAACACATACACACACACAGTATTGACGCGTTGTTATTACCTAAAGTTCATCGTTGACATTAAGGTTCACTCTTGGTGTTGTCCATTCATTCTGTGGGTTTTGACAAATGGATGATGACACGGACCTACCCTGACAGTATCATACACAAGAGTTTCACTGCCCTAAAAATTCCCACATAAAGATCCCTCCAGCTCCCCATTTCCTTTTGTCCACCTTGCTCAGAAGCCCACGAAGCCAGGTTTATGTTCTCAGTGAGAGAGGAGGTGATCCGATCCGAGCCGAGGGACAGGATGGGTCCCTGCCCCAAAGCTGAGCACGTAGGGTCCAGCCCTGCCTGGATCCTGGGTCCTGGCTCCAGGGTGGTTTGAACCTCTCCTCTCACCCCTCCTTCCCCCCAGGTTCAGCAGAGGATGGCCCTCGGGTGGTTTTCATGGTGGATTTGTGGCATCCAAACGTCGCAGCGGCTGAACGGCAGGCCCTTGATTTCATCTTTGCTCCAGGACGATGAGAGCATTACCTGTGCTGGAGTCGGCAAGAGGGGCCGAGGTGGGGTCTGGGCAGACTGTGGTCCGGTCCAGTCCCTACCGGTGTGATGATTCCATGCTCAGAAACCTGCCTCAGCGGAAAGCTCTTCTTTGGGATTTTATATCATGTCGGGTCCCTCTTTCCTTTGGTTATTGTAAATGGAAACTTTTCAGCTTGTATTTCCTTAGATTTTTTTTTTTTTCCTTCCAATCATTTGCTTCAGAGATTCCTTTCTGGCCTAACAGCGCATTCCTTTGATTCTGTGACCAGAGACTTAGAGCCCTTGTAAGTCTGTCTTCTGTTCCTACTTGTTCTTTTTCAGTGCTCCGAAATAAGAGTAACTAAATGGTTATTTGTCTGAATGTAATAATGTAAAACTTCTTGTGGTCATCTTAAAAAAACAAAAAGACAAAAAAACTAAACTAAAAACTGCAAACCAGAGAGCTGGAGAACTTGGCCTCTGATGCTGGCACACAGGGGGCCCTTCAGCCGCCCGAGGGCAGAGGGACAGTCTGCAGCTCCCGCACCTGACTGGCTTCATAGCTGGGTGGAGAGGCTGCCAGACACGGTCAGGATGGCGCACAGCGTCCAGCCCAGGGATACTGTCACCATCGCTCACCTCACCCTAAACCTTGTCAGGTCCCTGATGGCAAAAGCATTGGGCCGGCAGGACTGGAGGCTACTCTTTAAACACGGCTTTCCTGCAAAGCTGAAGCTGGTGTCCCCCAGTGCCAAGCTTCGGCTCACACAGATCAGCCACGGAACGTGTGATCCACTTACCTCACTGCCTACAGAAGCCCTACTGCCAAACTGGGCCTGGAAAATTCCCAGTTTTAGCTGTTTTGAGTCCACGGTGATGAACGTTAAGGCCACCAGGTTGGCTGATAGGAGCTGTAGGGGGATAAGACCTCACTCACCCAGCGACATTCGGGGAAAGCCTTTCTCTGGCGAAACTGGAATAATAGATCTGACCAAAGTTTCTGTTTTGCTTTGGAGTTCTGTTGCCTATGGTTTTTTTTTTTTTTTGTCTGTACATAAATGTTCAAACACTAGACTCAGAGATAGTGGAAGAGTTGGCCCTGTGTCTTTGTCACGGCACAAAGGTGTGCACTGCGTGATGATGGCCCAAGCCAGTGTGTGCTAGTGAGGAGACAGAGAAGACCTACACGCCCAGAGGACCCGTGGCCATCGTGCTGGTTTTCTGGTCTCCTGTGAAGAACATGTGGATCTCTTCCGGAAGGAAAAGGTCCCAGGAGACCAGTTTGAAGCACTCAGTCTAGAAATAGCCTGTGTTAGCTGATGTGTGAAAGCATAGCCAGCCAGCCACACTAGAGATGCCTTTTCTGAATAATATATTATGGGCAGTGTCAGATTTATAAAGCCGAGGAGTGATTTGGAATATACAGCTGGTCGCAGGTGCAGGTCCAGTGTTTAGACCCGAATGGAAAACAACAGCTTCTAAGAGGTACAACCATCCAAAGAAAACACAATTGAAATGCACCAGGCAGGTACTAGGAAGTGTGCAAAGAGCACATGTCTACATTTGAGTAAAATGTCTACACAGATATTTGTCAGGGACGAGAATGCAGGAAAAGGCAGACATTTCAAACACACCTGAAGTTTTTTTACTCATTAAGTATCTTGTTAAAGAATCACTGAGGTGCATGATTTATACACATCCTGACTACTCTGCTCTGCGTTTACAAAACCAACAGCCCGCGCAGGTACCTAGCTACCTGCATTCATGTGACGTGGTTGAGGAACAGAAGATAAATAAAGGATCTTGCTGAAAACCAGAGTGAAGTGATGAGGTCATCTGTTGTAAAGAAAGACTTAGGCCAGGCTCGGTGGCTCACGCCTGTAATCCTAGCACTTTGGGAAGCTGAGCGGGGAGGATCGCTTGAGCCGAGGAGTTTGAGACCGGCCTGAGTAACATAGTGAGGCATTGTCTCTACCAAACAAAGAAGCTAGCTGAGTGTGGTGGTGCACACCTGTAGTCCAAGCTACTTGAGAGGCTGAGGTGGGCGGATCACTTGAACCTGGGAGGCGGGGGCTGCAGTGAGCCTAGATCGCGCCAGTGCACTCCAGCCAACATGACAGAACAAGACACTGTCCAAAAAACAAAAAAAAGCAAAACAAAAAACAAAGACTTGCCAGGCAGAAGAGGGCAAGTGACTTTGAGGCTCTTGTGTTTTGAGTCATGTCACAGAGACAGGTGGGTCAATAGAACTGATTGTGGATAGTGAATGAAGCAAAATGTCCCAAAGTAATGGGACTAGCGGGGTGGGGACAACAAGAGCACATCTAGGGTATGTTAATGAGCAATAGATGTCAAACTGGGCAAAGAATGAGGACTCTGGCTTCCGAGAAGCTGAGGATCTAGGACTCCGTGCCAGGAGTTTGTACTCTCAGGATCTTGAGGAAGTCACTTAGCCTCTCGCAGCCTCAGTTTCTCCTCTGTGGCTATGTGCAGTACCTGGCATATAAAGGGCACCCAACAACACTGTTTCCCTTTCTGCCACAGCGGAGTAGAGAAACAGGTGAAGAGGAGGGCTGCCAGACGGAAGAGATGGGAAAATACATCGGGACAGCAGTGGGTGTGGCCAGAGAAGCCAGTGGCTACTTTCAATTGCCTGTGTCTAATCACAGGGGAAGAAACATGGCCCTCAGTAGCTACGTTTTTCATGTTTTTCCCTTTAGAAGAGAGGGAGACAAGGGGTCTCCCAGCCAGGAGCCCTAGAAGCAGCCGGGCTGTCGCGTGTTTTCGCCTGCAAGCGGGGTTCCAGCCAGCAGTCCTGGCCGGGCTGCCACAGCGAGCGGAAGGGAAGAGCGCCACTCGCCTGGGATTGCGATGTTTCTCACCCTCCCCAAGTGTGCATTGCCAACTAGGCAATTGCTAAACTAATTTACATCTTGTAGCTCTGGAGGCTCAAGGTGAGAAAGGGTAGCCAGCTGGTTGCAAACGGGAAATCCTGACTTCCACCCGAGACAGCCTGGATTGGCCTCAAGCTCCCTCTGTTCCCGTGTACTCGAGGCCAGACCAATTACTATTTGTACAAGGTCACACCCCGGGTCTTCTGATCTCAAACCATTTCTCCCAGGCACTTGCTCATCAGCCCCTAGAGTCACCCAGATTGTCTGGGTTCTGTCCTTGGTGACAGCGACTGAACTTCTAACATTGAGTGCTCTGTAGCATACTGTAGGGTAGAGGAGTGATCCTGGTGTGCTGGTCCTTGACTGTGGCTGCACGATGCAGTCACCTGGGAACTTGTGGGAAACCCCAAAGTCCACACCTCACTCCCAAAGCATCTTTTTTCATTGTTCTGAGAGTGGGGTCCAGGCATGGGTCTTTGTTTTAAACTCACTTCTGGTTATGATTACAATGTGTAGTTCGGGCTGAGGGTCACTGCTGTGAGTAGCAAGAAGGGTAAGGCCTTTGAAACCACGCAGCCTGGAGGTTAAAGTCTGAGCTATGCCCCTGTGTAACACTGGGCAGGCCACCTAACCTTGGTCTCTAGAGGACAGCCACTGTTTTTTGTTGTCTGTTTTTGTGCTTTTGAGACAGAGTCTCACTCTGTTGCCCAGGCTGGAGTGCAGTGGCACAATCTCGGCTCACTGCAACCTCCACCTTCTGGTGATTCTCCTGCATCAGCCTTGCGACTAGCTGGACTTACAGGCGCCTGCTTCCATGCCTGGCTAATTTTTGTATTTTTAATAGAGACAGAGTTTTACCATGTTGGCCAGGCTGATCTCGAACTCCTGACCTCAAGTGATCAGCCCGCCTCTGCCCCCCAAAGTGCTGGGATTGCCGGCATGAGCCACCATGCCTGGCCGGCAGCCACTGCTTTTAACCCTGTCCTGCCAACAGTATGAGCCTCTTGCAAGACCATAACATCCCCAGGCTTAGTCCTTGGGTCTCCAGAGCTGGGCCCATGATCCAGATCTGACCAGTCTTCCAAACTCTGCGCTACTGAGAGATTGGGTCAGGGCTGGGCACGTGATCCAAGTTCTTTTTCTGGGACCACTGCGAAAGAAAGGCCACTTCTTTTTATTGGGTGGGTGGGGTGAAGGGAAAGAAGCCGAGAGAGAAACCCACAGAGGCAAGTGGGGCCTGCGCTGTGGAGATCACATGAGTCCTCAACACAGCTCTGCTGGAAACCAGCTCTACCTCTGGACTTTTCTGTTACATGAGCCAATAAACGTGCTTTTTATTCGTAAGCCAAGTTTGAGTTGTGGTTTCTATCCCTTGCCACCAAAAGTCCTAATCCACTCTGTGAGTGTCAAGTGAGGTTTTGGTCAGATGCTATTATGTCGTGGTCTGGGTGGATGGGAGAGGTACTCCATATACATTGTCAGGATATAAATATGAGTAGCAGAGGCTAAGCACAAGATGAGGTTTTTTTTTTTTTTTTTTTTTTGAGATGGAGTCTCCCTCTGTCGCCCAGGCTGGAGTGCAGTGGCGCAATCTTGGTTCACTGCAAGCTCCGCCTCCTGGGTTCACACCATTCTCCTGCCTCAGCCTCCCTGAGTAGCTGGGACTACAGGCGCCCGCCGCCACGCCTGGCTAATTTTTTGTATTTTTAGTAGAGATGGGGTTTCACCGTGTTAGCCAGGATGGTCTTGATCTCCTGACCTTGTGATCCGCCTGCCTTGGCCTCCCAAAGTGTTGGGATTACAGGCGTGAGCCACCGCGCCCAGCAAAATGAGGTTTTTAAGGACCATCATGCCTGCTGCCAGCAACCTTCCATAACATTTAACTCCCCAGCCGAGTCTTGCTAACCAGATGTAAACACAGGGAACAGGACAGAATCAGGCCACATATTTTAGAACTGCTGACAGATGGCAGGGAAAATACTCAAGCAGATTGCAGCTTTAGGAGGCAGGAGGCAGCACACACAGGGATTGGTTTACTCTCCGCCTCTTTCCCAGGCACACACATTGCTTCTCACTTCTGGGTACCTGCCCTTCCCCATCTCTCCCCGCTTCCCACACATTAGCCACCCCCAAGTTCAAGGTGAGGGCACCTGCTTCTTTGAGCATGGAGAATATTGTGCACCCTATGAGGTTCCTTCCCCTATCTTATCCTTGTCAACTGCACATTTAATACATGAGAAAACAGGCTCAGAGCAGGCAGTTGACATGAACAAGGTCACGCGGCCAGCTGGAGGGTGAGCGGGAATTGGAAGCCGAGTATCCAGGCCCACAGCACAGCGTATCTTCTGCAGTCTGGACACACATCCAGGTCTCACTTCCTCAGCATGCAGAAGGACCACACCCCTCCGGCCCCCAGGTCCTTCTCCCTGTCCTGGGAGGCCACGTGCCTTCTCAGAACACTCAACAGGGCCCTCCATTTGCTGAGGGCCCATGATAGGCCAAGTCCTTACATACATTTCCTTTTCCTGTTTTAAAGAAGAGGACACTGAGGCTCAGAGACAGAAAAGCAACTTGCCCTGATGTCCAGCAGTAAGTTGCAGAGCTGCAATTTGAACCCACCTGTCTGACACCAAAGCCCATGTGCTCCTGCCACAGCCATAGGAGCCAGCCCAGCCTGGGTGGGGAGGAAGGATGAACAAGGTGCCTTTTAGCAGCACACTCGGCACAGGACTTGTCTCCCTCCCCTCCCCATGGGTTCGGCGGCCAGGACCCCAAGGCCTTTCCTTGGGGTGCTTGGTCCAGCCGATAGCGAGGTAGGGCAGGGGAGAAGGGTTCCAACTCTCGGCTTGGACCTCAGCATATACAGGCAATCATAAAACACCTCCCAGCTCTTGACAGGATTCCAAAGCACTGTCTGGGTTTTATTCTCAGGGGAAGTACAGCTAATTTCAGGTTTGGACATTTAAATCCTGGATCAACAGAAAAGGTGTCCTATTTTCACCTTGAAGCCCTTAGAATCTTCACTGTAAGCTTCCCAAACTCGACAAATATGTTGAAGAAAGAAAGATCTAGAGTAGGTTTTATTTCTAAGCTAGGATGCCAAGCGTGGGTCTGACACCTGCCCTCCCCCGTCTCCTCACAGAGAGCCGGGTGGCAGTCAGAATCAAGAAGCAAAGCAGGGGACAAGTGCTTTCCCACACCCACTGCCCTTTTCCCAGGAGCAGCGGTGAGTTCAGGGGTTGAGACAGGCGTGTGTGTGTCGGGAACACAGGCTGAGTATTAGTGTGGGTTTCCTGCCACTCCCTCCGCCAGCTCCTTCAGGGCAGGAATCTATCTCCTTGGCTGCCTTCTCCACTGGAGCTGTCCCTCCCTGCCCCAAACCTAATCTGTGCCCATGCGTGTCTGCCCATTATCTGGCCTCCTCTCTGCTTCAGCCATTCCCCTTCCCACCTGGACGACCACAGCCTCCTGGTGGTCTCCACTCTTGCCCAGTTTATCCCCTACTCAGGAGCTAGTGACCTTCCTCACAAGAATCAGCTCAAGTCAGTCCCCTGCATTTTTCTTCCTTTTCTTTGAGGGGGGGTCAGAGCCTCACTGTCGCCCAGGTTGGAGTGCAATGAATCTCAGCTCGGCTCACTGCAACCTCCACCTCCTAGGTTCAAGCGATTCTTCTGCTTCAGCCTCCCGAGTAGCTGGGATTACAGGCATGCGCCACCACAGCTAGCTAATTTTTGTATTTTTAGTAGAGAGGGGGTTTCGTCATGTTGGCCAGGCTGGTCTTGAACTCCTGAGTTCAAGTGATCCACCCGCTCTGGCCTCCCAAAATGCTGGAATTATACAGGCGTGACACCGCGCCCATCTCACTCCCCTGCTCAAAGGCTCCCCTGTGCCCCGCACCACGGCCACCTGGTGTGGGCCCCCAGCTCTTCTCATGCCCTACAGGTGCTCTGTGGCTTGGCGCTACTGAGAGGGAGGGAACTGGGCATCACAAGGAGAAGGCGAGTTTGCAGGAGGATGGATTTGTTTCCTGTGGCTGCTGTAACAAATGACCACACCCCCGGAGGCTTACAACACAAACCCATGCTCTCACGGTTCTGGAGGCCAAAGTCCGAAATCAGTTTCACGGGACCGAATTCAGCATGTTGACAGTCACAGGCCCTCTGCACACTCTACGGCGGAATCCACTTCTTGCCTTTTCTGGCACCGGGTGGCTGCTGGCATTCCTTGACTGGCGGCCGCATCACTTCAGTCTTTGCCATCTTCACACGGCATTCTTCTCCGTGTGAGTAACCTCCCCTTGCCCCTCTCCTAAAAGCACACTTGTGAGAGCATTTAGAGGCCATAGGATAAGCCAGGATCATCTCTTCGTCTCAAGATCCTTCATTCAACCACACCTGCAAACATCTGATCCAACAAGGCAACATTCACAGGTTCTGGGGATTGGGACCTGATCTTCGGGGGCCACCATTCAGCTCACCGCACACACAGGGAAGTGGCCTGTGGCAGGCAGGCCCACACCAGAGAAAGCCCTGCTGCTGCTACTCACCCACTCGGAGCAGGGCGGGGTGTTAAGAGCACAGTAACTGGGCAGCATGGGAAGTACATCTTAGCCACATTGGAAAGGACCACCAAGGGGGTTAAATATGCAAGGCAGACACCATGGAAGGCGACTCCAACAAAGCCCCTGGGCTCCACTTGCTACCACCCTCTATCTGTGGAAGTGACAAGGGTCCAGAAGTCTAGCTGCTTCCCTCCAGGGGAGGAGACAGTTTGATTAGCTCAAACGTCCCCTCTGGGGGTCCTTTCCCAGGAGGAATCTGACTGCCACTTGATATGGTTTGGCTGTGTCCCCACCCAAATTTCATCTTGTAGTTCTCATAATCCCCACATGTCGTGGGAGGGACCTGGTGGGAGGTAATTGAATCACGGGGGTGGTTACTTCCATGCTGTTCTTGTGACAGTGAGTTCTCACGAGATCTGACGGTTTTGTAAGGAGCTTTCCTGCTACTTCACTCTGCACTTCTCCTTGCTGCCACCATGCGAAGAAGGATGTGTTTGGTTCCCCTTCTGCTGTGATCGTAAGTTTCCCAAGGTCTCTCCAGCCCTGCGGAACTGTGAGTCAGTTACACCTCTTTCCTTTATAAATGACCCAGTCTCGGGTATGTCTTTATTAGCAGTGTGAGAACGGACTAATACACCACTATTAATCACTCATGGGACCTTTATCCTTCCAGTTCACAGGTGGCAGATGGATGGCACAGATGGAGCCAAAACAGAGGCTTTTCTGCCCTGAAGAGCCACTAGAATCTGTGGTCCTGGATGACTGACAGTGGCACTCGGTGTCAAGTAGGAGTCCAGGGTGGGCAGGCTGTCCTGCAAACACTGCCTTCCCCTGGGAAACGTGGCCATAGGAGGTTGTGGTGCCCACTCCAGCAAGAACATGCTGCTTGGCCATCCGTCGCTGGGCCTGTACTCTGGGGGCGCTAATTTTGTGGGGATGGGCCTGGGGCTGTGGGATAAACAGTGTCCTGAGCGACCCCCTGAAACCTCTGAAATATTAGAACAGGAAAACAGCAGGCTAAGTGTTTCTTTTCTGCAGCCTCTGGGCCACAGTTACCAAGCTTTAGAGATGACAGCTGCAGCTGCCAGTGCCCTGGGGCTCTGAGCAGAACCTCCACTGCAGAAACTAAGCAGGATCAAAGGAGGAAAGAAAGGGGCTCACCTGCAAAGTCAAGTTTCAGGACTTTACTTTTTCTGAGTTACTCCAGGTGGATGAGACTTTTCCATATACAGGGATAGGCTTTGTACGGTTCCATTTTGGGTCAGTGGAAGAATTTTCACAACACAAATGGCATTATAAAGTTGTCTTCTCTGGCCTGGTACTGGGGACCACTGGTCAAAGATAAGGCGAGACATTGCGGGGGCTTCCTGGAGCTGCAGCAACCACAGCAGAGAACCTGCAATGAATTTTTTTCTGGGAGAACATAGTAGAGGAGTAAGACAACATTTATCCTAGCTTCAGATAGGATCCTCTTCCATCTAGGCAGATGGGATCCAAGAGACAGGAGGGATCCTGGAGAGAGGTGACAGAAGAGGGTGACACAGGCTTGGTGTATTGGATCAGCTGCAGCTGCTGCTCCCTGGAGCGGCAGGCAGCAGCCTGGCACCCCTGCAAACAGACAGTCCTTACCCAGCCACACTGAACTCAGGGAAGGGAAAGAGGGATGTGCCCACGTTACACACACACACACACACACACACACACACACAATCTTAACCCTTACCTTTGCCACAAAAAATGCTACCACTTAATTACTCAGAACTCAATAGTGTTTTTTGGCTATTTTATTTTTAGCCCTTGGAAGCTTGTTTCAAGAAAAAGACACCATATCATAAACATCAGATATCAGTTCACTGACATGAAGTTATTAACCATACAACTTTCAAATGGAATCTCAAGTACTTCCAGTAAACATTCAGTTAAGATTTTGACAAGTATTTTCATCCTGCAATCCGTCTTATACTGTCAAAAAAATGTCTGACTATAATGTAATAGAACTGAGGTTTTAAGTACCACACAAGTCCAGGAACACACAAATGAATGTCATTCCCTTTCACGCAGCCACCACTGAAAAGCACCATTGCTTTTACCCCCAGACATCTTGTAAACTCCTATTTAGGGACACTCGCTCAAGAGGAACCAGCCGCACAGCCCACTTGTAGTCAAAGGCAGCGCAGGTTGGTCCTGCTGTCGCTGAATTCTCAGGGCTCAGCCCCCAGGGCTTTTATAAAGGGATCTCAAAAGCCCAAACTCCCTTCCGTATTACTAAGGCTTGCCCCCATTGTGGGTCCAAAGAAGACACCCCTAGATTTGAGTAGAGTTCCAACAGAATTCAACCAGGCGGTCTCCGTGTGCTGTTGCTTCCCTGCAGGAATGATCTGGACTCCCAGCAGGACTGCACTGGAGAAACCTACCTGCGACGTGGGCGTGGAGTCTGCCTGCTCACAGATCTGGCTCCTCACTGTGCAGTCACACCGCCTACCACCCACCTGGTGTCGGGGTTGAACACACACTCTGGGCTAGTGGACGATCAGGTTCTAGAAAAAATGCCAACCCGGAATCTTGTGGCACCAGTTCAAGCTGGGATGGAACAGTAGCAGGAGATATGAAATACCTCAGGCTCAGTGTGGCAGAGAGGGAGCCAAGCCCATCCTGGCCCCAACGCCACCGATGAAATACAGTTCTTTATCAAGTGCTCTAGGTCTCCTGACCTAAAGAACTAACCCCTGCCCGCAAACACATCCCTATCTGCAAAAGGAGTAACAAAAACTCAAATATCATTACGTTCCTAAAAAAGGGAATGTTTTCAAGAAAAATAAAATAGAGGGGCCTTTTCGATGATAAAAGGCAGAACTTCCTTTGCTGGTTTTCTCCTTCCCAGTCACCTCCTGGGCGCAGCTCAGAGCAAGTTCACCCCGTGCTTCAGCAACTTCTGCTTGGCTTTGCCAGAGAGGTTGAAGGCGCCATCCTGAGGGTTTGGGAAGCCAGAGCTCCGTGCTGCAGGTGCCAGCTGCTGGAAATACGTCTCCTGGATGGGGTTGCAACAGGCGTACACGGCCGTGGAGGCGTTTCTGTTGGAAGAAGAAAGAAGACTATGGTCCGATGCTGCTGGTGCTAATAGACCACACAGAGACCTCAGTAAGGTTCTTGTCACAGAGGACCCAGGACACCCAATGTGGCATGTGCAGCTGTCATGGAACGGGATTCTATTTATTCAGCGGAGTTTCAGGCTTCAGTGCCAATACCATCTTTCCTTCCTTTCAGCTCATGAGATGCTGGAAAAGTCCATGGTGGGACCATCCACGGTGGCAGCAGCCACAGAGACGGGAGTCATAAGTGCCGCATAAAGGAACTGTGGAGTGCCGGCTTGTTGATATACTGAGCTATGCAATGTGCTCTGCATACAGTCTCTGCTTTGCCCCTCACATAAGCTCTGCAGCGGTGGTTTAGTCCCATTTCACAGACAAGGACTCTGAGGCTCAAAGTGAGTAGCTGGGGCTGCCCTGCCTCTATGACAAGGCAATGGCAGTGTCTGAGAAAGGAGTCTAGTCTGCTCTTCACACTGGGGGCAGCTGGACAGACTGAGGGGGAGTGAAGGACAGGAGTGGGATGTGACATGAAGTGACAGGAAGCCTGTGGACACAGAGGGAGGGATGAGGGCACCACACAGAGGCAGAGCCACCTGGGAGGAGCCAACTTCAGGCCAAGGTAAACCCCCTGGTTTCTGGATCCTGCCTCTCCAACTATCCTATGAGCCTCAGTTTCCCCCAAATCTAGTGAAAAAGGGTGGAGTCAGGGACTGCTAAGGCTCCCCTCACTCAATTCTCTCCTTCCTTGTAAGAAGGGAGAAAAATCCCACCCTATTCCAAGCTTCAGTGTCTCTAGTGGGTGCACCCACTGGCCCAGCAGGAAAATCTCTTCTCATAGCCCTGTGGGAGGGCTCCGAGGCCAGGTGGTAATGAGCATGGATCTGGAGTCACACACTCAGGTGCTGATCCCAGCCCTGTTACTTCCTAGGGTGTGTCCTGGGCTGCTAGTCAACATTTCTGAGTCCCAGCTTTTTCATCTGTACAGTGGATTTGTAACAGTATGTGCCCTCAGGGAAGTCGTGTGTGTATGTTTTTTTTTTTTTAAGAATGAGATTAAGTGAGTGCTTAACACATGGTGAGTGGTTAAGAAATGGTAGCTGCTGTTTCTATTACTATTATTAAAATAATCTCTCAACAAATGCCTTGGGCTACGTATCTCAACACTAAACCCCTCTCAGCTCCAAGAAAGGTGACATACTGCAGAGCCACAAGGTGGTTGGTGGAGCAGATGCTGACATTTTGTTTCCACCTCCCACAAAACAGACACACACCCCCCAACACAGCCAGTTCCCAAACCAGTGACTGTTGATGCAAGTCGCCTCTGGGTGGCCAGCCTGGGGCAGCTGTGAATTAAAGCCAGAGAAGACACATTTCTGACAGAAAGATCTATTGAGATATTGGCTGGAAACAGTGTGAGGCAGCAGAACACCTGCCACTCAAGTGTGGCGGGTGACAGGGCATCGGAACCATCCTAGTCACCCACCCAGCTCCCTGTCAGACCACCGTGACCCAGGCCCCTCGCACTGGACCACACTGCCGTGACACTGAAACCTGTGTGGAAAGGTCGTACCAGTGCTTGAACAGTTGGAGAACATGCTTCAAATCCTGGCCCTGCCACTTAAGAAGAATACAACCCTGAGCAAGCTGCTTATCCTATTTGTGCTTCAATTTTCTCATCTGTAAAATGAGAATTTAAAAAATGCCCTTGAAGCTGGGCGCAGTGGCTCACACCTGTAATCCCAGCACTTTGGAAGGGTGAGGTGGGCAGATCACGAGGTCAAAAGATCAAGACTATCCTGGCCAACATGGTGAAACCCTATCTCTACTAAAAATACAAAAATTAGCTGGGCACGGTGGCAGGCGCCTGTAGTCCCAGCTACTTAGGAGGCTGAGGCAGGAGAATCGTCTGAAACCGGGAGGCAGAGGTTGCAATGAGCCGAGATTGAGCCACTGCACTCCAGCCTGGCAACAGAGTGAGACTGTCTCAAAATAAATAAATAAAAAATAATGCCCTTGACCATATGGTTCCAAGGGCTACGTGGACTAATATATACATTGCCAGCACTGCCCTTGACCTGCTACCTTGCTTTATTTTCTGTTACCAGTTGTCAACCAAATTATCAGGTCCCAGCCTCCCAGGGCTTTTATAAAGTGATCTCTAAAGCCCAAACTCCCTTTCCAGTTTCATAAGAGAAGCATGTAGAAAGAAAAAAACAAATTCGGTTGGTTAAATACTGTAAATTACAATAATCATCAACAGATCTATATTTCTCCTGGCATGGAGATGTTCAAGCTATGCCATAATGTGAAAAAAGACAACTGTAAAATTGTACATTAGTAGGATCCTATTTTCTAGAAGACTTAAAATAATTAAAAATACAATTAATCTATATGTAAAAAAATAAAAACCAAAAACCAATAAAACCTGGAGCAATACATGCCAAACTGTAAAATGTGGTTATTTCTTGGTGTGTGATGGGGTGAGGGGAGAGGAAAATGTTTTACGTGATAGATTTCCAAGCATTCTGCATGACTGTATCATCAGCATGTATTACTTTTTTTTTTTTTTTTTTTTTGAGATGCAGTCTCACTCTGTCGCCCAGGCTGGAGTGCAATGGTATTATCTTGGCTCACTGTAACCTCTGCCCCCTGGGTTCAAGTGATTCTCCCGCCTCAGCTTCCCGAGTAGCTGGGATTACAGGCACCCACCACCCTGCCCAGCTAATTTTTTGTATTTTTAGTAGAGACAGGGTTTCACCAGGTTGACCAGGTTGGTCTTGATCCCTGACCTCAAGTGATCCACCTGCCTCCCAAAGTGCTGAGATTACAGGTGTGAGCCACCGTGCCCAGCCATATGACTTTTTAATTAGAAAGACGACAATATTTCAACATTGTTTCTGGCAAGGAGACGGAGCCACTGTCCCTAGTAATGGATGTAGCTCCATGATGGTGAGGACCTCAGGTTCCTTCACTGCTGGACCCCAAGCGTCTAAAGTAGGAAGGGAAGCAGGAAGTCCATGGCACGCGACCACACAACAGTGGATAATGGCGGCAATAGGAACAAAGGAAGGCCTTAAGGAGAGTAACTAGAAAGTTCTTCATCTACTTAGGAATAAGGAGCTGCCTGGGCCCCACAGGTGGTTCCCGTGAGCAGGACCGTGGAGAGTAGTGGGGGATCGACTCAGGGAGGCTCACCTGACGGTCATTTCATAAAGCGCAGGCAGCTGGGCAAACTCGCTATGCATCAGGCTGACGGCCTGGAGGAAGCGGCGATCCTGCGGGGTGGCCACCTGCGACAGGTTTGCTTCCAGAAGAGGACACAGAGTTGTGAAGAGCAGACAGTTACCCTCCGCCCTCCCACCCCCTGAAGCCTGGTACTGAACACGGGGACTGAGCACAGCTCAAGGCTATGAGTGTGGCTGCCCGGGGCAGAGACAAAGGCCTGGGGCGCTGGGCTTCTGCTGCTGCCGCCATGCGATGCAGCGCCCGGTTTCTGCGTGTGGATCTCAACATTCTGAGACAAACCTATCACAGTTATGTGAACATGAACTTCTCTCAAAACACTGGGAAACACCAGAAACAGACACATGAGCAGACAAGCGTCTGCGCAGCGAACGCCACACTCAGTGGGAGTGGGCTCCCGGTGAGAGAGAGCCCTGAATGCAGGTCCGACAACTCTGTGCACAGCCGTGTCATCACGATGCTGGGGCTCGAGTTCTCACCTCCACCCGTCTCTAGAATCTGGCATCCCCATCGCCCCGGGCCCCTTGCCTGGTTCTTACCCATTAGCAAGCTCTGAATGCGGTCGTAATGTGTGAAGTTGTAGGTGCTGCTCGTGGAGGCTGTCTCACCCCTGGGCAGCGTCTCTTTTAGGTGGACTTCCAACCCATTCAGCGACGCCAGGCTGCTGTGGTACTGCAAACGGGGAGAGGGTCATGGGCTTGTAGGGCTGACCTCAGCAAGCCTTCTGAGGGCTAGTTAACCACAGACTTAGTTAAAAAATAATCCTCCAGCCAGGTATGGTGGATCACACCTGTAATCCCAGTGCTTTGCGAGACCGAAGCGGGAGGATCACTTGAGCCAGGAGTTCAAGGCTGCAGTGAGCCGAGACTGTACCACCGCACTCCAGCCTGGGTGACAGAGTGAGACTCTGTCTCAAAAAACAAAACAAACAAAAAAAATAAATCATTCATGGAGTATCTTACTGCCTACTTGATCCAGCAAAATGGACTCTCACCAACATTTTTATTTCACCCTTATGTTCTAATGTTTTTTAAATTAATGATTATATTGTAGAAGACAGGAAAGAGATGAGTAAAAAAAAATCTAATAAGAAAAATTACTCATCTTTTCACCATCCAGTAATAGCCACTGTTCCCACTGTGGTGTATCTTATTTTAACCATGGCTTTCCTCCCCAGGCTGCATGATTTCACATTACAAACAGCCTGGGACCATCCAGTGTTTCTCACTGGCCCCAGGTAGAGAAGTCCCTCACCGGATGTAACAAGGTAACTTCTCTCTGCAACATCTAGCACTGATAGCCTAGTCCTGGCTTTCTTGGAAGGACTAAGTGTCAGTCAAGCAGCTTTCTGCACTTGATGGTTCACAGGAGGTACACAGTTGAGGACGACTGTCAAGGAGGTGGGTTCAAGTACCTGTATTTTTACAAACCTCCAAGGAGATGAAGTTTAAGTACAATTGAAAACACTGGACTATATTGTTTTGTGTAACTCTTTTTCTGTAAAGTAAAAACGAGATCAAATCATAAATAATGACTGATAGTTTTTTAACCTAACAACAAAGCACGAACTGCTTTTCTCATCTTTAAATATTCTATCATATAATTCTTCAATGGCTGTGCGGCATTCTTCAAGCTCCACTGAGGGCTTGACTTAGTACACCAGGCCCATCGTAATGGGCCTGGTCTGAAACGGGATTTCCTGGGCCTGCTTCAGCCACAAGAAAGAAGGCGACTGTCCCCCAGCATTTGCAGTACCCAGGCAAAAAATATCCCAAGTTCAGCCTCTTTTTAGTCAAATGACCAGGAGCAAGTTACCAAATTTTCGGTGCCTCATTTTTCTATTCATCTGCAAAATGGGAACAGTACAGGACTGCCAAGTGACTTAAATGAAATGACACATCCAAAAGTCCTTCATAAACTCTAAAGTGCTACCCTGAGGCAGGGCCTTTTAACAGAGTCAAGGAAATGAAAATAATCATACAAAAGAAATGGTATCTCTTTAGAGATCACAGATAATTTGTGGACTATTTCTCAACAGCTATGTAAGAAAAAAAGTGCACATAAAAAGTATAGAGATGCAAACAGAATGCTTCTGAAGAAAATGTCATGAAGCTTACATGTTATTTTGGGGTGTTAAATCAGTTTTCCTGTACGAATGTCTCAGAAATGATATTTCAAGTCCATAGGTGTGACATACAAAGTTATTTTCTACTATGCGCTCAGTTTTGTATCCTCAATGCTTAGTAGAGTGCCTGACTCCTAGTAGGTGCTCAGTAAATGAATCCATTAAATGAATGACTAAATGAACACATCTAATGCCAAGCACTGCCAACTTATGAGTTATTTGGTTTAAATCAAGGGTGCAGAGTTATGTAAAAAGATATGTACTCAGGAAAGACAAGCATAGTATCTCATGTTCGGATCACTGAGAGAGCCTGACCAACACTGAGTTTAACACAGAGCCTCTTATTTGAACAGATGTGTGTGTGTGTGCATGCACCGACACGCGCATGGGCACACACAAGCATTCACCACGAAGTCAAACCACAGCCTCACCGAAAGTTTTTGGACCTCGAGAACCTGCTAACAGTCATCCCTTCCATGCTGAGCTGGTGTCCAGAGGAAGAAACAACAGGAACAGAGAGAGAGCCGTGCCGAAAACTGTTTCCCCACAGGCACTGAGCTCTGCTTCCAGAATCTTCTGCCTAACTTGCACTCAAGATAGGATCACTTAACAAGAAACACACAGTTAATCACAAGATGCTATGTCAGATGACATGTGGATAATTTTTTACTGATAGCCAAGTGCCTTCACATATACCAGGGGTCGGCAAACTCCCGCCTATAAACTAAATCCAGTCTGTTGCCTGTTTTTGTACAGCCTGAGACTTAATGGTTTTTATATTTTTTACGTGGTTGGGGAAAAAAGTCAAAAGAATAATATTGTAACATGTACAAATTATATGAGGTTCCAATGCCATGTCCATAAATAATTACCAGAATACAGCCATACCATTTATATACTGTCTATGGCTGTTTTTGTACTACAACAGCAGAGCTGAAAAGCTGTGCAAAGCTGAAAATATTTGCTTTCTGGTCCTTTACATAAAACGTTTGCCAGCCCCCGATATATACTGCTATATAATGTGATCCTCACAACGGCCCTAGGCGAAGCAGAGCTGAGGCTAATTCCTGGGTCCTCTAACTTCTACTGCACACGAAAGCAAGTGGCACAAATGTCAGCGTGTGACACAGCGTGCAGGAGTAATATGTGGCACACACGTTCCCTTAGAGGTACCTGTTTCCTGCTTGGGGGAAGGTGTTTTCTCATAAAATGTTTTATGACACTCTCACACTAACTTCAAGCCTCATCTACTGTACATAGAAGCTCAATGTCCTACTGTAGTAATAAATAATTAATCTGATCACTGTGTTTGAAGGTCAATGAGATTATCTTGGGTTTTGAGTAATGAACTATCATCGGCTCTATGCTGCCCCCTGGTGTGAGCCTATTTCGCTCCCTCTGAGGGAATTCCAGCCCCAATGCCAACTCTCCTGGTTGCTCCACCCACAGCTCCTTCCACCATCCCAAGCCCTGTTGCCCCTCACCCCACCCCTACTTCTTGTGGAAGTTGATCCAGCCAAAGACAAGACAGCCAAATGACACGAGGGCAGCTAGGGAGTATGTAACATCATTAAGGAGCCCTTGCAAAAGGAGTGTGCTCAACATAACTGGGGGTATTTGGTTTTTCTAGACAGTAGCAGAGGGGCTACAGGGAAATCAGGTAAAGTATTTTCAAGGCTCGTCTGGAAAGGCAATCAAACACCTCTCTCGATTATAAAACAGAAATCCTCTGGGTCTGATTAACAAACCCACTCTCAAACCAGTGGGCTGATCAAAGTTAGTCACTCCATACTAGAAAAGATTAGCTTTTCAGGGCTGGGCGCAATCACGCCTATAATCCCAGCACTTTGGGAGGCTAAGGCGGGCAAATTACCTGAGGTCAGGAGTTTGAGACCAGCCTGACCAACCTGGAGAAACCCCGTCTCTACTAAAAATACAAAATTAGCTGGGCCTGGTGGCGCATGCCTGTAATCCCAGCTACTCAGGAGGCTGAGGTAGGAGAATCGCTTGAACCCGGGAGGCGGAGGTTGCAGTGAGCTGAGATCATGCCACTGCACTCCAGCCTGGGCAACAACAGCGAAAGTCTATCTCAAAAAAAAAAAAAAAAGAAAAGATAAGATTAGCTTTTCTTCTTCCATAAAACTGCAGTCTATTTCCTGGGGCCTAGCCAGCACCAAACCCTGCTTTCCACGGAAGCCCATGGAGGCTGATGTCATAACAGCATGGATAAACTTTGACAAACCAGGGGATAAGGCCACAGAGCACGAGCCACAGAAGGCAGGACACTGACCCTCTTTCTTCAGCTTCCCAGCTATCACAGCAAGGGCAGGGCAGTGGGGGGACAGAGAGGCTGGGGCAGGGAACCAGAAACCAGCAAGAACTCTGGACCTGCCACTTGCATGAGGTCTTTTCATCTCAATGAGGCTGTTTTCTTACTGGCAAAGGGGAGTTACAATGCCTACCTCCCAGAACTGTTCTAAGGCTTGGCTAAAATAAGAGATGCAAAGTATTTCGCATATAGTTGGTGCAGAATACATCTCCTCAAAGAGCAGCCTGTGCTATTTTTTCCTTTCTGTGGGGAAGGTAAAAAGAAAGGTATTATATCCACTTTATTGCATTCAAACACTGGGCCCTTCAAAATGACATTTCTAAGGCTCAACACTGTGCAGAATAGAGCATGAAAACCAAGGCATCGGCAGGGAGATGAGGCGTGTAACACTGCAGCCAGAACTCCCTGCACTGTTATAAGAAGGAGGTGGATAGTCACTCACAGCTATGGTGAATGGGGATACAGGAAGCAAATGAGCTGTAACTCAGTGATCCAGTGTCTGTGGAAAGGGGACAGAGAAGCCTGACAGCTCCAGAGAGCACTCTCTTGCTAGGAGTTCTGTGCAAGGAAGCTGCTGTGCAGTCTTATCTCTTCTTCTGTGTTCCAAGGTGACTAGCTTATTTATGGAGGGTCACAAGCCCTGCATGCTACTAAGATCAGCTTAGAATAATATACGTTTTAAGAATAAAAACAAGGAAAGTCCCAAGACACCATTTGCCCTCCAGCAATTTCAACCTGCTGTTCTTGTTGCTACCACTTTCCTTGCCTACTAAAGCAAGGCTGTTACTATAGCAACTGAATCTCCAGCGTGGGCCCCGGGGAAGGTCAGTTTACCACTCTAAGCCTCTAAGCGAGGAAGGGGCTGGAATAGTTTAAGAGCCCTCCAGAGCCAGTTAGGATTTCAGATGTCCCAGCCTTCTAGGAGGGAGTTTCAGATCAGGCACGATGCTGGGGCTATGGAGGGAAACACAGGGTTTCCAGGGAACTTCCAACCCAGGCTGTGACACACTGCAGAGGAGTTTCCAGCTGACATGGAACCTAGAGCTGTCCATGCTAGGAAATGAAGCCATGAGTAGGGGTGGCACACCAGTGACTGTGCATGTGTGCGTGCAGCCTCTGCCTGCATTATCTCACTGCATCTGGAACAGGAGGGTCTACCACCACCCCGAATGACTGAGGAGTTAGCCAAGGCTCAGGGGGACAAAGGTCTGTGGGCGAGTTCACACAGCTAGAGGACAAGAGCCAGGATTCCATCTCAGGCCTTCCCTTCCTCCAAGGCCTGCACTCTGCAAAACTAGAAGCAGTGCAAGAAGAGAACCAATACCTGTTGGATGCCAATATGCCACCAGTGCTATGCGCTTGACTCACTCTTACCCCCAACAAAAACCCACAGAGGCAGGTGCTACCTCCATCTTCTAAACAAGAACGTTTAGCCCAGGGTCACACAACTGAAGGCTGAGCCTTTATCCCTTCCCTGGGTGTTGGCACAGTGCTGTGAGGGAAGCACAGGAGATCAGCAGAGGCCGCAGAGGGGCAGGGGAAAGTCTGAGGACACTCACCACTTCCTCTATGGCTGCGCTGTCTCCCAGCAGCGGCTCCTCGGCCAGCAGGGACAGCACCAGCCCTTTGACGCAGTGAGTGTAGAGGTTCATCCTCACGAGCTCCACGCAGGACTCTGCTGGTGTCAGCCCGGAGTTGATTCCATCTGCAGAGGGGCCAGCACCCTGACAGTTTGCTGAGCCTGAACTGCATTCCAGACCGGGGGCTGCGTGGCTTTCACAGAACCCATCAACATCTTGATCCAGGCCTTGTTCTCCTGTGGAAAGCTTGTTTCCTCTCTGTCCTGGATCTAAGCGAGGCAGTGACAAGCGCCTGCGGGTCCTTCTGGGGAGAGGGTCTGCTCTGGGAATGGGGACTTGGCTGCTATAGCCAGGACGGTCTTCGAGCTGCTCTTGGGCTCCAGGCTGGGTGAGCATCTCAGGAGCGGAGGGAGAGTGCAGGCTGCTGATGGCTGTGTCCTCAGGAGGCATGGGATCCAGGCTGCTGGAGGCGCTGAGAGATGCCTTGTAGTAAGGAGCCCTGCCATCTGGGACAGGCACATGTAGGAAAGCAAAATGACCTGAGGACGTGTCTACTTCCTGAGCCTCTGGAATGTGCATTTCAGACAAGTCAAGTTCCTCTTGGAGAAAGACTAGTTCCTTCCCCAGGGAGCAGCTAAGGCCAAGAACCTCGTCCCTAGCAGTGCTGTGCAGTCCTGTGGGCCTGATGCTCTCCAGATCATGGCCAGACAAGCATCCGTTCTCCTTCCTGCCATCTGGACAAGCTTCGTCAGGGGATGCAGGCTCTTGGGTGGTCGAGGCCATGGATTCCACAGGGCCGGTGGCGTTTTCTTTCAGGGCAGATGTACTCCCACCCTTTGGATGGTGCTGGGCTGAACCATCCTGGAATCCTGCTGGAGATGCTGGAGACCTGGCAAATGGGAGATGTGAGGAAGGGGCACGTCGACAGACTGCAGAGCAAGTGCCCTTCCACAGTGAGGACTAAAGCACAGGCATCAAGGACAAGGTAGTGCCTGAGGCCACAGAGCCTAAGAGGCCACTGGAGTTAAATCACAGGAGTAAAAATACAGAAACATCTGGCCCTCCGGGCTTCATGTAGTGACACCAGGCTCACCTACTGAAAATGGCAGAGCCCACTGAATAAGACTGACCCACATTTGGAAGGTCTCCTATGCATCAGGCCCTATACTAGGTGCTGTACATATACTACTTTTTTTTTTTTTTTTTTTGGAGACGGAGTCCGGCTCTGTCGCCCAGGCTGGAGTGCAGTGGCCGGATCTCAGCTCACTGTAAGCTCCGCCTCCCGGGTTCATGCCATTCTCCTGCCTCAGCCTCCTGAGTAGCTGGGACTACAGGCGCCCGCCACCACGCCCGGCTAGTTTTTTATATTTTTTAGTAGAGACGGGGTTTCACCGTGTTAGCCAGGATGGTCTCGATCTCCTGACCTAGTGATCTGCCCGTCTCGGCCTCCCAAAGTGCTGGGATTACAGGCTTGAGCCACTGCGCCCAGCCGTGTACATATACTATTTTCAACTGTCACGATGAACTCACGAAAGGGATACTATTGTGTCTACCTTTCAGATGAAAAAACTGAGGCTCAGGCAGGGAATGGACTTGCCCAAGGTCCCATAGCTGGTAAGTAAGAGATCTGGGATGTGAAAGCCAATATCATCTCACTATGCCACTCTGTTTCTTAACGAACTCAAGATCCAGATGCTCCCTTACAAGACAGGGCATGGGGGAGATGGAATTAAGGAAGTATGGGATGTATCAGAGGTTTGTTTTTTAACAAATCAAGCAATGGGGTCCCTCAGGTGTGGTGTAAGGATAACCCTCTCTGCACTCCCTTACCTGGTCATCTGTTCCACCGGGAACTCATGGAGACTAATGGCTTCCTCTTTGGTCACAAAAACAGGGATAATCTGAACATTCGGGGGCAATGATGCTCCTGGAATTGCAAAGCAACATGAACAGGGCTTTCCCCCGAGGCGAGAGGGCAGAGGGGCAATGATTGCACTGGAGTGATGCATCTAACGCACACACCAGCACCGAGATGCATCCAACGCACACACCGGCTCCGAGATGCATCCGACCCACGCACCGGCTCCGAGATGCATCCGACCCACGCACCGGCTCCGAGATGCATCCGACCCACGCACCGGCTCCGAGATGCATCCGACCCACGCACCGGCTCCGAGATGCATCCGACCCACGCACCGGCTCCGAGATGCATCCGACCCACGCACCGGCTCGGAGATGCATCCGACCCACGCACCGGCTCCGAGATGCATCCGACCCACACACCAGTTCTGAAAGGGGTGCTGTGAAGGCATTCCACAGCCCAGGACACAGGTTGCCAAACTGTAGCTCAAATTCCTGGGCCCAATAAGGAAAGAGTCCCTGCAGGCAACATAACTCCCAGCTTTGGAGAAGGAAGATGTTCAGGAGAGAAAGGTTGAAAAGCACTTTTAAAGAAGATATAAGCTAAGAAAGGGATCTGCTCCAACTTAGGCTTCAGAATAAATTGAAGTAACTCTCCTGAGGATGCCTCCACATCCTGCAAAAGGTCTTTCTGTCAGTCGCTGTTTATCTTTACCCTCTCCCAACCACAATCCCCTGGCACTTGACCGAGCAGTCTCACAATATGAAGTTAAGGAGGGTCTGAAAGCAGGAATTTGACAGGCATGCCTAAAATCATAGCTTTACTGTTAGGATTCTGGTTCCGGCAGGTAACTCGATTCTTGAAGCTCTGTTACGTCCATTTTCCTAATCTTATGAGCAGAGGAAACAAACATGCGGATGGCTCGGCCCATCACATAACTTGTAAGGGACAGGTAGTATAAAAGACCGCCGTTCTCAAGAGGCAACCATGTGCCTCACTACTTACCATGTTCCTGCGGGGCATCCCCTCCCATACGGAGTCTCTGAAAACAAACACACACAGAAGTTGGCGCTGGGCACCACATTCTCCTCTTGACCTAACCATCAGGAATTTGCTGTGCCATCTGTTCATAAAACTTAGCCAGGCCCAGAAAGCTTGTCCCAACCACATGCTAAGAGCCAAGCAGATGGAACAGAAGCTCCCCCAAGCTGCTGGCTCCCACTATGGCTGGGATGAAGCAAGAACCTAGGCCTGCACAGGCTTCAAGGCAGCAGCTCCACCCAAACTCACGTCACACTCTATGTTCTGATTTTCTCAGACTCTCCCTTCTGGGAATAAAATTGAAGATTCGTGTTCTCTTTCACACCTCTGGGGAACTCATTCTAGAATACAGTCACATCTGCCACAGCCCCAATGTAGAATTCACATAAATTCCATTATAATAAAAACGTCAAAGTACTGTCACTCTCACTATAAAGATGTGACCTAAACAAAATGCTATACCAGATCTCTCGTTTGTTCTGGTTCACAATCGAGGCCTGAAACCTGATGATTTTTCTCAAAAATGAAAACATCTCTCATCTCAATCTGAGGGTTCCAAAAGAACCCACCAAAACCAAACCAAACCAAACAAGAACTGCTCTTCTAGCCAAAATGACTTTCAATCTTAGAATTATATGGTGTTCTTTCTTTTCTCGTGATTTTTTAAAAACTCATGCTTTAGATTACTAAGCCTAACCTCAGTTTACTCTAGACAAAGCGTTGAAACAAAAAAAAATCACATACAATCCCTCACCCCCAAGCTAGTACGATTAATATTGGGTATTTTTTCCTTAAGCCTATGCATTTTTTATACTTTTGAGACCACAATATATAAAATACCATATTTCTGCTTAAAACAGTAACATGCAATTCCTGCCATTAAAACATCTTTGGCCATTTTAAGCAGCTGATTAAAATTTTATTAAGGTTTAAGTGATATGAGTAAATTAATCATTTACCTACCTTACACCAGTAATTAGTAAACTTTCTGTGTAAAAGACAACACAGTAAATATTTTTGGCTTTGCAGGGCATATGGGCTCTGTCCCACCTACTCAGCGCTGCTATTATAGCTCAAAAGCAGCCAAAATAAAACTTCAACTGTAGGCAGGTGGCCCACAGGCCATAGTTTGCCAACTCCTACCTTAAGCATTCAAGTTTTGTCTGATTTTTCACTTTCATAAAGCTTGTTGTGATCAAGTTTTGAGTATAAATGTTTTTCAGCAATTACATTATTTCCTTAAGATATATTCCTAGAAGTCAAATTATTAGGAAAAAATAAACGTTCTCATTATCAAAGTGTTTCCCAGAAAGGCTGCTCAAATTGACACCTACAGCAACAGTGGATGAGGAGGCTGACTAGAGCCCCACCAGCATTTCACAGGCCTGCTCATCTAATAAGTGTAAAAAGAGAACCTTATGATACACTGGAAACCACAGCTTCACACACAAAAGAAAAAAAGGACTGGAAGGAAATACGCCAGACGCTGGCAGTGGTTATCCCCGTACAGTTCAATGATGGGCAATTTTATTCTCAATGAGCATGCGTGACTTTTTTTTCAATATAAAAACAATTAAATAAATATAAAATGGAAGTATTTTAGAAGAGTTTGTTTTCCTTATTTTTTTTATTTTTATTTTTTGAGAGAGTCTCACTCTTGCTACCCAGGCTGGAGTGCAGTGGTGCGATCTTGGCTCACCTCAATCTCCGCCTGCCGGGTTCAAGCCATTCTCCTGCCTCAGCCTCCCAAGTAGCTGGGATTACAAGTGTGCACCACCACACCCAGCTAATTTTTGTATTTTAAATAGAGACGAGGTTTCATCATGTTGGCCAGGCCGGTCTTGAACTCCTGACCTCAAGTGATCTTCCCGCCTCAGCAACCCAAAGTGCTGGGATTATAGGCGTGAGCCACTGTGCCCGGCCCCCTAAATCTTTCTAAAGACACACCCTTTACAGTCTGTCTCTGAAAAGTCTTAACATCTCCCTGACATAAAGAGATATCAAATTCTTATGGAAAGTTGAATTCTCACAGATTTACTTGGTTTGAAGGAAAAAAAAACTACCCAAGCCTAGCTTGTGGAAGAAAACATTTTCTTTCAGCCTCGCCAATGGCTTCATTATTGAGGAGGACTTGGGGTCCTGACAAGCCCGAGAGAAACAACTGCTCTGCGGCCTCTGCTCCTGATCCCTCCAGCCTCAGGCTCAGTGACCGGTGCTCTGGGGGATGCCATCCAGTCAGGTGGGTGGACTTTACAATACCTGCTCCTGAGGTGCTGTTCGGTGAAGCAGAACCTTGGCAGTGAGGGACGGCGGGAGCTGAGTGCTGACAATCCTAGGAGGTCACACACAGAACAAGAACACCATGAGAAGAAATACACCAAAACACTGAATTTTAAAGGTGCCTAACAGCCTGTGTTGACGAGGATCTTGGGGACTTGGCTGGTGGGAGTTTCAACTGGTAAAACCCTTACAGAGGGCACTCTGGTAGTTCCTGCCAACATTTAAAATATCCAAACACTTTGACTCAGCTTGTACCAAGATGTATGTGTAAGAATATTCATTACACGGAGAATGGCAAAAACAATTAAAAAATGAGTAAACCACCAAAATGTTCATCAACAAGAGAGTAAAGCACAACACAGCCAGAATCCCAAAAAGTGTGCAGCCCACATAAGAATGAGGTGGACCCATATGAACTGGTAAATAAATCTTCACTATATGCATTGAGAAACCATGTGATCCTATTTAAGGAGATAGCAAAAATAAACAAAATCAACATATGCAGACATGTACTGGTGGGCACAAACACACACAAAGAGCAAGATGCCCACCAAACTGCCAATGATGAGGACAGGTTAAGAGTGAGGGAGAGGCTGGGCACAGTGGCTTACTCCTGTAATCACAGCACTTTGGGAGCCTGAGGTCGGAGAATAACTTAAGCTTAGGAGTTTGAGACCTCCACGAGCAACATAGTGAGACCCCATCTCTACAAAAAAAAAAAAAAAGTAAAAAAAATTAACCAGGTGTGGTAGCATGTGCTTGTTGCCTCAGGCTGAGGAGGGAGGATCACTTGAGTCCAAGAAGTCGAGGCTGTAGTTAGCTGTGTTTATGCCACTGCACTACAGCCTGGGCAGCAGAGCAAAACTGTCTCTCAAAAACAAACAAACAAAAAAACAGTGAGGAAGAAAAAGGGGGGGGTTTAAATTGTGCTCTGTGTGTTCCTCTATTGATTGATTTGTTTACAGTGAAAATGTATTCATGTATTAGCTATATAATTTAAATACAGGCTGGGTGCAGTGGCTCATGCCTATAATCCAAGCACTTTGGGAAGCTGAGGATCGCTTGAAGCCAGGCGTTTGAGACCAGCCTGGGCAACACAGCAAGACCTCATCCCTACAAAAAAGAGAAGACAAATATATATATATTTAAGAAACGCAAAATGAGAAAAGGGGAAAAAATACTCTCTTTGGTGGGTATGTCGCTGATGAACTTGGAAGTCCCACAGCTGATTCCGAACCATCATGATAAGAACCAGAGCAAGGAAGAAGAGTGCAAAGTGCACCAGGGTCTATGCTCAGTTCTTCCGCATCTGTCATCTTATTTCATTCTTCACAAGGGATGTCTATTTCCCAGAAGAGAAAATTGAGGCTAAGCAACTCGCCCAAGGCCACATGGCTGGCAAAAGAAGGCAGGACCTGGGGACCAGCCTTGCTGGCCCAAGGGCCCCTGCAAGAGCCCGAGTGCTTCTCCAGTTACACAGCAGTTGCCTGCTCCTCAGGAAGCTCCGGGCACAGCACAATGGCCCTGCCTGCCCTGGGCTGTGAGAACAAACCCTCCATGAGGAGAGAGGCCTTAGATGACCTAGAGTGGCTCTTGGGCACTCAGACTCACGAAGAGGCCCTCCAACTACATGAAGAAGTGCAGTGAATTCTCAGAGGCCAACCAAGACACAGGCCCAGCCAAGAGGCTGGAAGGCAGCTGCATAAGGGCCTGTAAGGCTGCTTTGCAGAGCTGAGCCGAGGTAAGCACACCAGGGCCTCTGGGCAGCAGGAGGAGGGCCACAGCAGGAGGAGGGCCACACCAAGCCCCTTCCATGCCTCTTGACTTACAGTGCTGGCTGCTGGCAAAGCTGGGGACTCTGCATCAGCATTTTGCAGACTGACAACTATTCCAGCATGTCCTATACTGAGAATTATAGGGATTCCTTGTATATTCTCAACTCTTTTCTGAACACAACTATTTCCAATTTCTCAGCTTTGCTCAAAGACCGGTACACACCTGTCTTTCTAAACTACCTCATATTAGACAAAACCAGCCCATTTGGAATTGGCCAGAGACTGAGCTCCCCACCATGATCTGGAGGTGGCTGATGGTCAGTTGTGCAGCAGGGGAATGGGGCTGGAGGAGAGGGGTCTGGAGTTACTCACAGTCCTTTATAGAGGATACAGCCAGCGACAATGTGAGGCGAGCGCTGGCAGGTCTGCAGAATGCGGGCTGCCTTCAGCAACAACAGGGGCTCCACCTGTGCAGGGCAAGAGGCATCATGCCCACCCATCAGCATGCTCACAATCAGGAAGGGAGAAAAGGGGAAAGGGTTGTACAGAACAGCTGGACAGGGTGTAGCTCAAAGTCTGGAAAAGGAGAATGCGTCACACAGTAAAACCTGTGCCATGGCTTGGGACTATTCTACCTCTCTATACCCAGAACTGCTGACACCACTAAATGCCAAATTCTTACAACAAGGAGGCCTGTCCAGAAGCTAGAAGGTGCAGCAAATATGGCATATGTACTATATGCATTCAGAAACCATGCGATCCTATTTAAGGAGATAGCAAAAATAAACAAAATCAATATATGCATATATGTACCGGTGGGCACAAACACACAGAAAGAGCAACATGCCCACCAAACTGCCAAAGGGGTCAGAGTAGATGGCCTGGGAGACCCTGACTATCTACACTGACAATGCTAAGACCTGATGGCAGCAGCAGCAGAGGGTGTATCCTATAAATACACGTCATGGTACCAGGCGAAACCCACCTACCCTATCCTCCACCTTCCTTCTGAAGCACAATCCCCATGGCGATACAGGTGGCCTGATGTCTGACTAGGTTCCATGACTCTATTCCATCACAAAAAATGAAAACATCATGCTCTTTCACTCGGGGAAATACGCCTCAGTTCCACATTCCTTGTATGGAGTCAGTGGCCTAGAAGTCCCTAAAAATACAAGAAAAGCATCTGGACCTGGTCAGGAAGAGCCAGCAATAGCCAGCAGCCTCCTCAGACTTCCACCTGCCAGCTAGAACCAGCAAGTATCCATCAGCTGTTAGAACTAGTGTTAATGGAGCCTCCGGAGCTGCTGACACATTAAGAAATTTATTCTTCCTAGCTTCAAGACTGTGCTCCGTCCCAGCCAGCCATTCTGTAAAGTTTTGGGGCCAGCTGCAGGAAGTTTTCCAGACTGGAGCAGGGAAAACCCTTCCCCATGTCTGGTGGAGTCATGCTCTGCGAAGGCTGAATCACAGCGCCACATCCCTGCTACAGGGACACTATTTACTATTGCAGTGAGACACAGGAGAGGGTTGTGAGTCAGGGCCCAGGTAGCTGCCTCCTAATGGGGCAGCACAGGTGGTCAGGCCAGCCACACAAGCAGCCTCGGTTTCACTGAGTGTTAACCGCAAACGGAGCGGCTCAGAGATACAAAAATAGTTCCCAACCACTATCTCTCAAAGACAGCAACCATGTGTTTGAAATGTTCATGCTGGGCATTTTTGATGCTGAGAATAACTAGATCATATGATAAGAACATCAAGAGAGAAGAGAGAAGGCCTTCAGATTACTGAGTTCAACACTTCTGAGGCATGAACAAAACAGTAATTCCCTTTACTGAGCATTTACTTGGTGTCATTTGAGGTACGGTTTCACTTGACCATCAAAACAGTTCTAGAAGGCAGGTATGCTGACACCATTCTCTGGAAAAGGAAAATGAGGCTGAGAAGTGACATGCCTTGTCATGGCCCTGCCTGAGAAGTGACATTCTACTCACTTTTCCAGATACAGTTCACTTTGGGAATATTAAAAAGTATCCAGAAGTCCTAATCTTACATATAAAATGAATAAGGAGGATGAAAATGTTACTTTAGTTTGGTCCAAGTTCCAGAGGGAATTGAAAATCTTATGCAGATCACTGGTGTTTTTCAGAATTTGTTCGATGAAGCTGTCCCACTCCGTGCTCAGTTCTTCCTGAGAACAGTTCTAAAACAGAAAGAGCCTCAGGTCAATATCTGAGATTTTGAGGGACAGACTCTTTGGCCAGAGTCCCAGCTACCTCAAAAATTGTTCCTCACACAGGAAACTGACCAGAAGGGAGGACCTGTTTTAAACCTACCCAATCACGGATCCACCTGCCAGGTGGGGGTGGCAAGCAGGGCCTGTGCTTTCTAAACATCCCAGAGACGAGAAGGGGATAAACATTTGGAATAAATGTGACCTATGCCACTAGGCCCAAAGGCATATGAGGGGGCTCCGAGAGCCCCTGACCTTGTCCCCAGACACAATGTGTTTATAGGAAGTATAACAGACCCCAGAGTAAGTGCTGCATTCTGGCAATATCGGTTTTTATAAAGAGGCCCAATATAAGACTCCTCAACCCCATACTCGTACCTCATAAGCTAGCGAAACAGGTCCATTGTAAAAATTAAAGAATCCAATTAGCTGATCCAGAAACCTCTTGCAGCTGACATCAGGGAGCTCCACAGCACAGCCCAGCACCTGTAAAGAGAGAAACCAGAAGACAAGCATTTTCCTTCTCTTTGAGTCCAAGCCCAGAATCCTGGCATCCAGGGCTCTCAATTACCTGACTTCACTGGCCCATTGAAATTGATCTTCTATTATGCCTGAGTCCACACCCTCCATTCTGGCCAAGTTAATCTCCACAGACAAATAAGTTCTGTACCTCAATTCTTGTTGCGCAATCTCAAATGTCCTCTTCCTTATTGTTCATTTCCCCAGAACTTACTCATAACCTTCAGTGCCCACCACAGATTTCAGTATCTCCATGAGGTCTGTTCTATTAACTCGAGCCAATAACGCTGACCTTTCTTCTGACCCTTGCATTGTTAGGACTGTTATTTGGACAGTGGATGTTTAATCTGGATTCCATTACAAACAATGGACAGGACTCAAACTCCTTCTTGAATGGCCATCATGTCTCTCCAGCTGGATGGAGTGCTTTAAGAGCAAGAACTGGCTGCAATCTTCCCAGCTCTAGATCTCCAAAATGCTGAGTGTAGTGGTTAGTTCTACAGGAGATAAATACTTGGCCGGGTGCACTGGCTCATGCCTGTAATCCCAGTACTTTGGGAGGTTGAGGCAGGTGGATCACAAGGTCAAGAGATCTAGACTATCCTGGCCAACATGGTGAAACCCCGTCTCTACTAAAAATACTGGGCGTGGTGGTGTGCGCCTGTAGTCCCAGCTACTCGGGAGGCTGAGGCAGAAGAATCGCTTGAACCTGGGAGGTGGAGGTTGCAGTGAGCTGAGATGGTGCCACTGCACAGCCTGGCAACAGAGCAAGACTCTGTCTCAAAAAAAAAAAAAAAAAGTGCTTGCTGAGTTAGAAAGTAATCTGGTCATACGTTTAAAGAGTCTGAAAAAGTTCCTATTACTTGATGTAATAATTCTACCTCTAGGAATCTGTCCTAAGGGAATCATCAGATATTTAAACTAATAAACCCTGACAGAAAACAAATAAACAAAAATTTCCTCTGAATGTAAGCTACAGTAGCACGAGGATCTTTGCTTTGTTCCCAGATGTAATCCAAGACCTTACAACAGTCTGGCATGTAAGAAGTGTTCGATTCTTCCAATTGATAAACAGACTGAATGCAATTCCAATCATAATCCCACCAGCTTTTCTTCAGAAACCGACAAACTGATTGTACAATGAAAACACAAAGAACCTGAAATATCCAAAGCTATCTTGAGAAAAGAATAAGGTTGGAGGACTTATACTATCTGGTTTCGAGACTTACTATAAAGCTATAGAAGTCAAGACAGTGTGGTACTCACACATAACCTTCAAACAGATCTGTGGAAAAGCCAAAGAGAGTCCAGAAATAGACCCACACTTAAATGGTCATCTGATCTCTGGTAAAGGAACCAAAGGGAAATCCAACAGGGAAAGGAAAATGTTTTCAACAATGATGCTGGAAGAACTGGTTATCCAGGTGGAAAAAAAAAAAAAGATCCTTGACCTCTACTCACACCATTCACAAATATTAACCCAAAGTGGATTACAGATCTAAATTTAAAAGCTAAAACTATAAAATTCTTACAAAAATAAAAAAGGGAGACTATCTCCTCCAATGGAGTAGGCAGTGGTTTTTTCAGGCAGGACACAGAAAGCAATAACCATAAAAAGATAAAATTGGTAAGTCAGACTTCATTAAAATGCAAAATTTCTGCTCATCAAAAGACATCAAGAAAATTAACAGGCATGCCACAAACTGGGAGAAATTATTTTAAAAAGATGTATCCGACAAAGAACTGGTGTCTAGGATATAAAAAGAACTACAATTAAAAAAATAAAACCCAATTTAAAAAATGGGCAGGGCTTTGGACACTTCACAAATTCAAGTGGTCATTAAGCACATGAAAAGGCCTCAGTATCATTAGTCATTAGGGAAGGGAAGATTAAAACCACAATAACATAGCACTGCACATCCAGCGGAATGGCTAAGATGAACAGACTGTCAATCTCAATGCTGACGAGGATGTGGAGTAACTGGAATTCTCATACACTGTTGGTAGGAATGTAAAATGGTACAACCACTAAAGGAAAAGGTCTAACAGTTTCCTATAAAATCCAACATACACCTACTCTATGACCCAGCAATTCCAGGACTGGATATTCACCCAGGAGAGATGAAAACATGTGTTCACCAAAATACTTGTATAGGAATGCTCCTAGAAGCCTTATCCTTAATGTCCCCAACAGGACACAGTTCAGATGTCCATCAAAAGAAGACTAGATTGTGATCTATTCAGACAACAGAATACTGTTTAATAAAATGGAATGAACACTGACAGATGCAACAACATGAACGAATTTCACAAATGTTAAGCGGCAAGACAGATGCCTGTAAAGCATGTAACCACAAACAAACATTAATTTTTTTTTTTTTGAAATGGAGTTTCACTCTTGTTGCCCAGGCTGGAGTGCAGTGGTGCAATCATGGCTCACTGCAACCTCTGCCTCCCAGGTTCAAGCGAGTCTCCTGCCTCAGCCTCCCGAGTAGCTGGGATTACAGGCATGTGCCACCATGCCTGGCTAATTTTGTATTTTTAGTAGAGACAGGGTTTCTCCACGTTGGTCAGGTTGGTCTTGAACTCCTGACCTCAGGTGATCCGCCCGCCTCAGCCTCCCAAAGTGCTGGGATTACAGGCATGAGCCATAGCGCTCGGCCCCAAACACTATATTTTAGTTGATGATATGCATGATAGAGTATCTGTGTGGAGAGTACACTAATGTGTGCAACTTACTTTGAAAATTGTAACAAAATAATTTGGGGCTGGGTTACAGTGTCTTGCGCCTGTAATTCCAGCACTTTGGGAGGCCAAGGTGGGAGGATTCCTTGAGCTCAGGAGTTCAAGACCAGCCTGGGCAACATGGTGAAACCCTGCCTCCAGAAAAAATTTAAAAAATTAGCTGGGCGGCCGGGCGCAGTGGCTCAAGCCTGTAATCCCAGCACTTTGGGAGGCCGAGACGGGCGGATCACGAGGTCAGGCGATCGAGACCATCCTGGCTAACACGGTGAAACCCCGTCTCTACTAAAAAACACAAAAAACTAGCCGGGCGAGGTGGCGGGCGCCTGTAGTCCCAGCTACTCGGGAGGCTGAGGCAGGAGAATGGCGAGAACCCGGGAGGCGGAGCTTGCAGTGAGTTGAGATCCGGCCACTGCACTCCAGCCTGGGTGACAGAGCGAGACTCTGTCTCAAAAAATAATAATAATAAAAAAAATTTTAAAAAAAATAAATAAATAAATTAGCTGGGCATGGTGGTGCATGCCTGTGGTCCTAGCAACTCAGGAGGCTGAGGTGGGAGGATCATTTGAGTCTGGGAGGCGGAGGTTGCAGTAAACCAAGGTCGCACCTCAGCACTCCAGCCTGGACAACAGATTGAGACCCTGTCTCAACAATATAAAATAAAAATAATTTGAATTAATGGGAGGGTTAAGGAATGAATAGATAGGTAATAAAACAACTATAATAAAATGCTAATTGTAGAATTAAGGAGGTATATGAGTATTCACTGTAAAATTCAACTGTTCAGTATGTTAAAAATTTTTCATAACAAAATGTTGGAAATAATACCTACAAAGTTGAATACAGCATCCCACACTTAAGCATCCCTTTACCTCAGGAAGCCTTAAAATAAATGTAGCCATGAGAAACAGCACTTTAGATTATATGCTACTATTAGAATGTAAAGGAATGATTTTTATTTATTTATTTTTTTAAGACAGGGTCTCACTCTGTTGCCTAGGCTAGAGTGCATGGCAATCATGGCTCACTGCAGCCTGAAACTCCTAAGCTCAAGCAATCCTCTCCTCAGCCTCCTGAGTAGCTAAGACCACAGGCATGAGCCATCACACCTTGTTAATTTTTAAATTTTTTTGGTAAAGCAGGGTCTTACTATGTTGCTCAGGCTGATACCGAACTCCTGGACTCAAGCAATACTCTCTTTTATTTTTTTAAATGGGTTCTCTGAAACCTAACACATATCTATCAGTGTTTTTTCTGGGTCACTTACCCAGTAAGTGTAGACAGTATGGAGAAGAAAAGATGACGATAAAAACTCAATTTACAACACAGAGTAAACAGAATTTCCACAAGTTGGCCTAAGTCTTTGAAAGGAAAGGAGAAACCAGCCATGTGCATTGCAGGATATGTTAGAAATGTTTTGGAGAGCACTCAACAATAATGGGCAGATGCAGAGAGTACCACAGGAAGTGAGGGTGATTACTAAACACGGTACACGGATGCGGTGGTTGGGGGGATAATTCTAAATTCCAGACTCAGAAACAGCATAACTTCCTAAACTTATCATTGCAACACTTCTGCACTGATTCTGCCTATTCAACTTACCCAAAGGTAATCTCCATCAACTTTTATGGCAAACTTCAGTTTTCTCAGACGAACAAGAGTAGGAGGAGAGTCAGAAATGTCAGAAACACAGCGGACGACTCCAGCAATCTGTCCACAAAGCAACTCCTGTTGGTCAAGCAGGGTCTGTGGGAAAGGAGTACATTCCAGAGAGGAAGCTGAAATTCTTGAACTCTTGCATCATTTCTTACAGCATACTGAAGTCTGCAAGCCAAATCCAGTCTGTTGCCTGTTTTCCCATGGCCTGTAAGCTAAGAATGGTTCTTAAACTTTTTAAAGGTTACAACAAAGAAGAATATGTGATTGAGACCTTACGTGCCTTGCAAAGCCTAAAATATTTCCTGTCTGGCCCTTTACAAAGTTTGCCAACCCCTGCCTGAGATGACTGAACCCTAAGAGAACACCCAGCAGGAACACATGAGATGACTGCACAGAACTGCATCTCTGTTGCTAGGATTATAGGCATATGCTTAGCAGAAGCATGAGCCTTTCACTCCTACTCAAATCCCCTACACAGAGTGGCCAGAGTGACCCAGATAAACCCCAACTATCTATGTCAGAGCACGGTCACAGGAGGGAAAATACAGAATCTCCTAATCAACCTTAGTCTTAACTAAAGCACAGGACAGCCAGACAGTATGGGATGCACAGGAAATGTACACAGCACCCATGAAGAATTCTTACCTAGAAAACTGAGCTTGAACCTAACCAAGGCTCTAGATCTTACTACTAATGTAAAGGAAATACAGTGGATAGGAGACATTAAATGACACCACCATGAGAAACAAAGCAGCCAAATCTAGAGTGTGGGACATTCTAACACTCTACTACACGTATGACCTGGTTTCTTCAATAATTCAATGGCATGGAGGAGGGGAGAAAAGATGAGTGGCTGGGTGAGGACTGTTATTAAAAGGACTTAAAATACAAAATAACCAAATAGAATATGTGGATGCTGTTTGGATCCTTATTAGGAAAAAGAGAAAGAGATGGAAGGATGGAAGGATACGTGGATGGAAGGAAGGAAGAGCAGAGTAAGTAACATCCAAGACAATATATTAGGCAAAATCTGAATATAGTCTGGGTATCAGGTAATATGAAGGAATTACTGTTGCTAATTACTGTAACTTTTGTTAGGTGTGGTAATGTTTAAAATAATGTCCTTTTTAGTTAGAGATGTTGCTTGATACTGGTGAGATGATGCAACACCTAGAATTTGCTCCAGGAAAAAAAAAAAAAGAGAGAGAAGAGGAGGTTAAGATAGGTCATATAAAATGGGCAAAGTACTGCCGAGCGCGGTGGCTCAAGCCTTTAATCCCAGCACTTTGGGAGGCTGAGGCGGGTGGATCACGAGGTCAGGAGACTGAGACCATCCTGGTTAACATGGTGAAATCCCGTCTCTACTAAAAATTCAAAAATTAGCCGGGCATGGTGGCAGGCGCCTATAGTCCCAGCTACTCAGAAGGCTGAGGCAGGAGAATGGCGTGAACCCAGGATGTGGAGCATGCAGTGAGCTGAGATCCTGCCACTGCACTCCAGCCTGGGCAACAGAGTGAGACTCGTCTTAAAAAAAAAAAAAAAAGGCAAAGTATTGATAATTGTTGAAGTTACTAATGGCACATGAGGGTTCATGATACTTGCCTCTCTGTTTTTGTATATGTTTGAATACAAACTTTTTTTTTTTTTGAGATGGAGTTTCACTCTTGTTGCCCAGGCTGGAGTACAATGGTGCGGTCTCTGCTCACTCCAACCTCTGCCTCCCGGATTCAAGTGATTCTCGTGCCTCAGCCTCCCAAGTGGTTGGGATTACAGGAGCACACCACCACGCCCGGCTAATTTTTGGATTTTTAGTAGAGACAGGGTTTCACCATGCTGGCCAGGCTGTTCTCGAACTCCTGACCTCAGGTGATCCACCCACCTCAGCCTCCCAAAGAGCTGGGATTGCAGATATATGCCACTGTGCCCAGCTGAATACTAACTTTTAAAAACTGAGTTGATCAAAAAATTGGGGGTAGAGGGAGGCAGACAAAAATCATGATGGAAATAGAAAGCTAAAGACAATGAAAGTGCTGAGCTGCCTGGAAATTTTAAGACCAGAACAACAAGAAATAGTACAACTAAGAATAAGACAGTAGAAATGTCATTGTCTGGATTAGCCAAACTGTCCTAATGTAAACCCTATACTTTTGAAAAGTTATCACTTGGAGGCACTGGGATCCCCACTGAACAATAAAATGCTGTGTGGCTTACCTGGGAAGGATAAAAATAACAAATGCCAGCTCTTGTTGGATCGCCTTCTTCCTTTACCTTGGAACCATCATAAAGAAAAAAATAATTCCACCTGGCAAGAGAACAGAATGGAGCCATGTTTCCTTTCATCCAGTGATCACGGCATTTAAAACATAGCTTCCTATTTCCCAGCCCGAGGAGGGCTCATTACTGTGTTTGAAAGCCTTCAGGTGGCCCCAGAGAAGAAAGAACCCCAGTAGCTACAAATTAGATAAAAACGTTCTGTAAGCGCAGGAAATTCAAACTAAAAATATGCCTCTATCCAGCCGTTAGACCATCTGCCAGAGAAGACATAAGTAGCTAGAAAAAAAATGAGGCGCCCACAATGACTGCTCTTATTTGAAACACTGAACCTTAACTACACAACCACATGGTCTGATACACTGTCTTTTAAGGCTCTGATAACAAAATAAGTTAGGGATGTATTAGATGCACTCCTCGTAAGTGCTGAGCATAAAGATTTCCAGAAACAGCCCTTCTACCAGGAATTCATGCATTCACTTAAACACCGACTGAGGGCCCACAGTGAGCTCGGTGGTTGCTGAGCAAACACGCAGTTTCAATGCAGGATAGTGAGTACGTAAGTCCGTAACAGGGAGAAAACGGGGCCTGTGAATTTACAGAGAAACTCTGAACTCCTCTCTACCATGCCAAACCTCACCAAGTATCACTCAAGCACACTTCCTCATTAACCGTCTCCTGATTCCCTCGGCCCAGAGATAATCTCTTTCTTCTGAATTTCCATGACCCTCTGTTCTTCCTCAAAGACTCTTACAGACTACACTGCAGTATAACTATATTACTTAATGTTATCATCTGATTACCTCTTTAAGACCATAAAACAAACACTTCAAAGGCTGGGCCTCAATTTTGTTTTGTTTTTACAGGGTCTCACTTTGTAGCCCTGTAAGGTGGAGTGCAGGGGTGCGATTGTGGTTCAGTGCTCGACCTCCCAGACTCAAGCCATCCTACCGCCTCAGCCTCCCAAGTAGCTGGGACTACAGGAGTGTGCCACTATGCTCAGCTACTTTTAAAAAAAATTTTTGTAGAAATGACTCTCACTATATTGCCCAGGCTGGTCTCAAATTCCTGGACTCAAACAATCCTGCCTTGGCCTCTCAAAGTGCTGGAATTACACGTGTGAGCCACCGCGCCTGGCTGGACCTGTTTTATTTCTAAGTTTCTGAGAACACATTTAGTTTCTGAGAACACATTTATGAGACTGTAACATAAAGAAGCAACGGGACCAATCTGTCATCTGCTCTCTTCTCCCCCGGATCTATGCCCTCTCTGAGGCCTCCCTCCATGGCTCCCACCTTGCCTTCCTGATGAAAAAGCACCAACTTGGCTGGGCACAGTGGCTCACACTTATAATCCCAGCACTTTGAGAGGCCTAGGCAGGAGGATTGCTTGAGCTCAGGAGTTCGAGATTAGCCTGGACAACACGGTGAAACCCCATCTCCACAAAAAATAGACAAAATTAGCCAGGCATGGTGGGGTGAGCCTGTGGTCCCAGTTATTTGGTACGCTGAGGTAGGAGGATCACTTGAGCCTGGGGTTTGAGGCTACAGTGACCTGAGATCACGCCACTGCACTCTGGCCTGGACGACAGAGCAAAACTCTGTCTCAAAAATAAATAAATAAATAAAGCACCAACTTGGTCTCTGGCACTGTCCACTTTCCCAATACCTAGGGCTGGATGTACAATTGGCTGCAGAGTAAGCTCAGATCAAAAGGCCTCAAAAAAGTTTCAAAGCCAACTCAGAAACTCCATGTGCACCCCCATCCTCCCCTGTCCCCACGTTCTCTGGGTGAAAGCATCCCTGCTTGTGTGGGCACACAAAAGAAAACTTGAGTGTCATCTTGAACTGCACCATCTTTTTGACTTCCACATAAATAATCAGTCACTAAATCCTACTAATTCTAGTTAAACCTGCTTTTCACCTTCATCTCCTCCACGACTGATGTTTCCTAAACTTAATTATGGGAAAGGATTAACGCATTTAGGGTTGAGAAGGGAACTGGGTTTCAGACAGACATTGAGTAATACCCTTCAATACCCAATCTGGCCAAACCTTTCCACACGGTGTAATTCTCAACTGCAACCATACCTCATCTCTGCAAATTAAAGACTACAATACCCACATTATCATCAAAGCTGGCTGCACGATCAGGCTGTGGCTTATCTTTTCTACAATCTCCCAGCAATGCCAGACTCATTCAAACACTGGGAGAGGCTTGCAAGGTTAAAACACGTTAGCTTCGGAGAGAAATGGCTCATGTGCTTGATTCAGCTGCTCTGAGGAAAGTGGTATTCTGTTATGTTAACCCCAAAAATCTATCCAACAGCCCAGCGAAAGCTATGCCATGGCAGGCCCTGCTACTCACCACGAGGCTGACTTTGTCTCTGTGGAGGTGGAGGTGGCCATCTACTTTGCAGTCATCCTCATCCTCTTCATTTAGGTTTTCTTTTCCAGTATCAGTTCTTTCTCCCCAGCTGTTACCGTTCCTTTATCTCCCAATCCAGCGAATCTGGATGTGGCAGGTTTCAGTGTTTTCAGTCACCACTGCCACTTGGTTAGTTTTCACTCAGCATGGAAAGTACCACTTCCCTTCCTTGCAGGTTCTTCAGTTTCATGTATATTTCGATGCCTCTTACAACTCAGGGAGAAACTATAACAAAGAGAGTCCTAGCAGAAAAGTCAAATTCATTCATCTGGTTTCCTGAGTGTCACTGTGGCTGTCTACAGAACCACCACTTCAAGCTCCTCTCTAGGAAAGCCAAACGTGGGAGATGCATGCTAGAGCTGGGGTTCTAAAGAAATTTCTAGCTTGTCTAGCTCAAACCCATCATGAAGATTCTATTAAAAGTTTTGAAGTTTCCAGTTCAAACATCAGTGCCTTGGCTCTGAAATAAACACAAGGAATAGATATTTCAGAAACTCGTGAGAGAGCATGTGACCCAGCAGGATTTAACAAATGGTATATATCAAAAGAGCTTTCTGTAAGAGTGACAATGATACTTCAAAATCAAAGAGGCAGGGTTGCAGAGACTTCAGAGTAAGGGCTTTAGTCTCTTGAACAGTTAAGGGAAACACACCACAAGCTTCACAGAAGATAAAATCAAATGATAGGGTGAAAATGCTCTAGGTGTGGACAGCTATACAAATAAACCAGTTGCTGTGCTAATAATGGAACCCAAATTAAGGAACTATCATCTTGACAGTCCAAAAGTAACCTGAACATGCAGAATTCCAGACCAGGGCAAGTTTCTAAAAAATGAAGAGAACTTTATCAAATGGCTTTCAAACTTCCAAGACAGAAAGACAGCTCAGTCTATCATCGAATTTCAGAGTCGGAAGGAACCCTGGCATCATTTACTCTACTCTCCTGCACTCTTTTCCAAAAAATACCTTGGCTGTCTCTGCTTTACATCCTCCCGAAATACGTGGTTCTCTACGTTACATTTCTCCTTCCAACAAACTAAAATCAGCGTTCCATATTTTACATCTGCCTCCCACTCGCTACCCTGGATAACACTCCGCAGGAAAACACAAAACAAGGTCTAATTCTTCCATGTGACAACCTCTTGGTCACTTCAAAACTACTGTCTCATTCCTACTGTCACTTTCTCCAAGCTTAATGCCCTACCAACATGGTCTCAAATGCTTGCTCACCATTCTGCAATCTATGGGCACACAAATAGAGTCTGTTAAAGTCTTGAATATTTGACGGCCTGTAAAATCTCTATCTCTTCTCAGCTCTAGATATTTTGGATTGGGCCTCCATAGGACTATACTCTTTGTACTCCATGGAGCATATTTGGGTGCCTGTGGAAGGGGTATCTCTGTTCCTGGAACCAAGACAGCAGCCTAAAACTCCCCATCCCTTGTTTGCAGAGGACTGGGCCCTACACTACCGAGGTCCTCTCTTATCTCTGAAAGGTCTAGAAGAGACCACTAATGGCCCTGGCGTAGGAACACATGTCGGAATGTAAGCATAAAAGGCTCTGGTAGCCTGGGAAGTGGTAGTAACAACCTGGGGAAGGGGCCTCAAGTGGAGCAGCAGGGCTGGAAAACGGACGCTCACGGCTGGAGAAGGGCCAGGAAGCTGCTGGGCACAGCCCCCGGGGCGCAGGCAGCGATGGGTAACAGCACGGGGCCTGTGCGGCGTCTGGTCCCACCTCCAGGGGACTGGGAAATGGTGGGCGAAGGCCTAAGGATCAGGCGGGGTCGGGTCACGCTCTAGACTGGGGGCCCGCCCCTCTGTATCCCCGCGCCTCCGAGCGCCGCCCACCCACCGGAGTAGCCAGGCATCCCAGTGCTCGGGGTTCGGGACTCTGGAACAGAAATGTGGGCGGCAGCTGGGCACCTGCGACTCCGGCCCCGTACCTGCGCGCGCGGCAGAGAGGCCTTAGGTCATGCGCCGCCCCGCCTACCGCCTCCTCCTGCTCCTGGCGAGCCGGCGCGCGATGATGACGTGCCGAGTGAGCCGGACGCCCCTGACGTCAGGGACCAATGGCTGCGGCCACAGCTACCGCGCTGGAATCCTGGCAGGCCGCGGCTCCGCGGAAGAGGCGCTCGGCAGCTCGACGGACGCGGCGGAGGGAGGTGGCGCCCCGGGGTCCCGAGGCAGAGTTCGAGTCTGACAGCGGAGTCGTGCTTCGTCGCATCTGGGAGGCTGAGTGAGTGCGGGGTGGGCCCTGATGGGATCTTTGCGCCCGTGGACAATTCTGAGCCACAGTCTCCCCATCTGTAGAATGGCGATATAAACCACACCCTTTAAGGAGTTATTGTGAAGATTTAACGTAGGTAACGAGCTCATTAAAGATCTGGATTATAGTAAGCGCTCAGTTAAAGGTTGCCTTCCCTGTTATTACGGTTACAGTTGCATGACCTTGGACAATTTGTAATCTCTGTGCCTCAGTTTTCTCATCTGTGAGATGGGGATGAAAATAGTACATACGTAGGTTTGTTTTGAGGATTCAATGAATTAGTAAACGGAAACCATTTTCTGGCACGTGATAAGCACTGTGCCAATGTTTGCTATTAATATTATGCCGATGTTGGTATTATTGGTGGTGGCAACACAAGGGAAGCAACACGAACACGTGATTGCTATCATCAGGCAACTGCTATGTGCCGGACACTAGCTTAATCATTCTGCACACTTTATGTTAAACATTGCAGGCACGCTAGGACCCTGGTAGCTCAGTGATTCTCAGAGAGACAAAGAAAATGTGTGGAACCAGATTTCAAACCCAGGTCTTTGTGACAAAAACCAGTGCTTCCAGCTCTCCATTATGCTGGTTGCTTATCCCAGCTCAGATTCTCACATACCTTGCTCCATACCTTAGAAGGTACATAGAGAGTGCCTAATGCAGAGGAAGCACTCCACAAATGTTACCTATTAATGTTATTTAGTATTATTACCTTTATTTGCAGTTCTTTTTAGGCTCAATACATAACAGCTTTAGTTAGCACTTAAGATCAGCATCTGAAGGGCCATCACAAGGGCAGATGTTAGATTAATTTTGTGTGCTCCTTTCCACTAGAATTAGGGTCAAGAGGCAGCAATGTCCCAGAGTTTACCTCCGAAGAGAAAGTTGTTGACCATTTGGCTCAGCCTGAATAAAAAGCACCTGCGATTCTTTTTAAGCTCTCAGAGGGTGCCAGTAAGAGTGAATGTGGCTGGGGGCTTGGAGAACTCAAGGCATTTTTCATATCCCTTGACATTGTCACGATTTCCTCAACTGCTTCAGTATTCCCCAGGAGCTCCCTGCTTCTCCCAACACCTAGGTATGGTGCAATCACCATCGCTCTGAGATTGGGCCAGCATTTTACGCGCTTATCTATGTACGCATTTACCAGTTCATGAAACATTCCTGCGTACGTCAGAACTCTCTCCTTTACCCTCTGTGAGAAATGTGCAGCAGCCTCAGGGCCGACTTTCAATTCTCTGTACCCCTTTCTGAACCCATAATCACTGTCTCTGGCTGTGGCTTGTCAGTTCAAATCCAGTTCATTTTAATTCACTGTTGACTTTGTTTTGCTCTGGGTCTGTAAAACCAGTTGACTTGAATAAAGAAAGCCCAGACACTTGGTTTTGTCTCTTTACTTTCCCCTTAGAACTATTTATAATAACAAATACCATTTGTTGAGCACCTGCTATGTGTCAGACACTGTGCTAAGAATGTTAACCCATTTTTTTTTTTTTTTTTTTTTTTTGAGACAGAGTCTTGCTCTGTCACCTAGGCTGGAGTGCAGTGGCGCGATCTGGGCTCACTGCAAGCTCCGCCTCCCGGGTTCAAGCCATTCTCCTGCCTCAGCCTCCTAAGTAGCTGGGACTACAGGCGCCCGCCACCACGCCCGGCTAATTTTTTGTATATATATTTTTTTAATAGAGACGGGGTTTCACCGTGGTCTCGATCTCCTGACCTTGTGATCCGCCCGCCTCGGCCTCCCAAAGTGCTGGGATTACAGGCGTGAGCCACCGCGCCCGGCAATGTTAACCCATTTTATGCCTCTAAACTCCTCTGTGTTGGGAATGATTTTTATCCCCATTTTAGAGATGAAGAAACTAAAGCTCAGAAAGGCTAATTCTGAGCATTTAACAACCATTTATGGAGCTGCAATTCTATACTAGGCTCTGTTGTAGAGCGAGAATAAACCCAGACCTCTCTCTGGGAATCAGGGACCTCCTCCAGCATCCTCTCTCCTGCAGTCTCTGAGCCCCAGCAGTATGTGCTCTGGCTCTGGACATATTCAACATATATCGCCCTCTTATCACTTGGTAAGGGTGGGCCCTGCATTGCAGGGCACCTCATTCTCTATGCATTCAGGTCATGATCAGGAAAGTTACTGTTGGGGCAGCCCTGAAATGGATGGGACATGACTGTGCCATTTTTTTTTCTCAACAGGAAGGACCTGTTTATCTCTGATTTCTGGAGTTCAGCACTAGGTGGGTATGACCTGGCCAAGGGTAGGGATTATGGGGCAGAAAAGAGAATCTGTCCTCATTTGAGGACATTTTGCTTCACAGAGGGATAACTTGCTGAGTTCTAACTCCCCCCACCCCACCGCTTCTATCTGTGTGTCTTTTGGCACTTAATTCTGACCCTCAGTTTCTTTATCTGTGAAATGGGGATAATGTGTATATCCTGTAGTTTTGGAAATTGAAGCTGTTTAGTTAAATGCTTGCCTGCTGTATACAAGGCAATAAATATTGTCATTATTATTGCTGAAATTTATATTTATCCTGTTCCTTTTCCGTGATATTACAATGTAGCCTTTTCCTCATGCAGTGATAATCTCTTCCTAAACATAGTGTGTGGGTGGCCACATAATATTTATGCATGGAGTGGACTAACCATAGATAACATTTTTATTGTGGGACATTGAGTTTTCTTCCTTTGGTTTTCAGTTATTATTTTAGGACAGGGTCTTACTCTTCTCTTCACCCAGGCTGGACTACAATGGTGCAATCATAGTTCACTGCAGCCTCTACCTCCTGAGCTCAAGTGATCCTCCCACCTATAGCTTCCCAAAGTACTGGCATTATAGGCATGAGCCACCACAACCAGCCTTTTTAAGTTATTATACATAATTTTGCCAGGCGTGGTGGCTCACACCTGTAATCCCAGCACTGTGGGAGGCCGAGGCGGGTGGATCACGAGGTCAGGAGATCGAGACCATCCTGGCTAACATGGTGAAACCCCGTCTCTACTAAAAATACAAAAAATTAGCCAGGCGTGGTGGTGGGCGCCTGTAGTCCCAGCTACTCGGGAGGCTGAGGCAGGAGAATGGTGAGAACCCAGGGAGGGGGAGCTTGCAGTAAGCCGAGATTGCGCCACTGCACTCCGGCCTGGGCGACAGAGCGAGACTCTGTCTCAAAAAAAAAAAAAGAAAAAGTTATTATACATAATTTTGCAATGAGCAATTTTATGCATACAGCTTTTACCAAACTTAGGGTGATCTTCTTAGGATATATTCCCAGAAGTGGAATTAAATGAAAGGCGGTGACCAACTTGATATCTATTGTCAGGTTATCCAAAAAGTTTTCACCAATTCTTTTATCAAAACTGACCTGAAGAGCCAGTTTTTCCTGGCCTGGGGTATTATTTAAAGATATCTTTGCTGCTTTCTTTCTTTCTTTTTTTTTTTCTTTTGAGACAGAGTCTCACTGTGTCACCCAGGCTGGAGAGCAGGAGTGTGATCTCAGCTCACTGCAATCTCCACCTCGGGTATGACCTGGCCAAGGGTAGGGATTATGGGGCAGAAAAGTGAATTCTCTGTACCCCTTTCTGAACCCATAATCACTGTCTCTGGCTGTGGCTTGTCAGTTCAAATCCAGTTCATTTTAATTCACTGTTGACTTTGTAAGGTGCTGGGATTATAGGTGTGAGCCACTATGCCCGACCCTTTGCTGGTTTCTTAAGTGAAAAATTGGTATCTTATTGTTGGAATGCATGGCTTTTTTTTGTTTTGCTAAATTCAGTACCAGTACAATAAAAGGAGAGACAAGAGAACCTACCTCTACATGAGAAGACTTAAACAGAGTATAACTTTATTTTTTTTTAATTTTTTATTTTTTTTTGTTGAGACGGAGTCTCGCTCTGTCACCCAGGCTGGAGTGCAGTGGCTGGATCTCAGCTCACTGCAAGCTCCGCCTCCTGGGTTTACGCCATTCTCCTGCCTCAGCCTCCCAAGTAGCTGGGACTACAGGCGCCCGCCACCTCGCCCGGCTAGTTTTTTGTATTTTTTTAGTAGAGACGGGGTTTCACCGTGTTCCCCATGCAAAAGCTAGAACAGCTCTCCACAATCCGCCCGCCTCGGCCTCCCAAAGTGCTGGGATTACAGGCTTGAGCCACCGCCTCGGCCAACTTTATTTTTTTGAGATGGAGTCTTCCTCTGTTGCCCAGGCTGGAATGCAGCCGTGTGATCTTGGCTCACTGCAATTTCCACCTCCCTGGTTCAAGCGATTCTTCTGCCTCAGCCTCCCAAGTAGCTGGGACTACAGGCATGCGCCAGTACGCCCGACTAATTTTTTGTATTTTTAGTAGAGACGGGGTTTTACCATGTTGGCCGGGCTGCTCTTTCAATTCCTGACGTCAGGCGATCCACCCACCTCAGCCTCCCAAAGTGGTAGGATTACAGGCATGAGCCATCGCACCTGGTCTGTTACAACTTTAAAAGTACGCATTTCAGAGCATAGTCTACATTTACTAGGAGCCTCTTGTTAAATTAGAATGAGTTCACATTATAGTTTTAGATGGAAACTGCCCTTGAGTGAAACCCAATTTCTGCTTGCAACATGCTCTTGGGTTTTGGACCATGGGAGTCCAGGGGCCAGGACAGCCTGTCAGTTGGTGACTGTGACTATATGTCCAGGCATGTTTGGGAATGAGACCGGCAGCTTCTCTCTCTGAAGAATTGAA